CCCAGGCGGCAGTGGTCTCAGGTGGTAGTGGGACTTCTCAGGCAGCAGCGTCATGAGGAACGAAGTCCTCGAAGGGGGTATCGACAGCCTTCCTCTTCCTCCTTCCCTCCCTATTCTAGGTCACGAGGAAGATAACTCACAATGATAATTTCTCTCAAAAATACAGCGCTCTTTGAGGGGGTGTCCTACCTCCCCTTATATGGGGGCCCACAAGTGGGCTAAGGGGAGGTGGGCCCACTTGAGGCCCTAAAGCTCATAAGCCACAAAGGCTACAAAAGGGGCTTATTGGGCCTCTTAAAGGGAGACCCAATAAGCTCCCCTAAAAGGAGAAGGAGGAGGGCCCTCTTACGGTGTTTAAGTGGGCCTCAAATGAAGACCCAAATAAGCCCAAAAGAGGCCCAAAAAGAAAGACACATAGGTTCCCCCCCCCTAGAGTTTTAATTGGGCCTCAAAGAGAGACCAAATAAAACCCTAAAGAAAAGGAGACAAACAACAACACACACACATAGAATTGGGCTTGCTAACACACAAATGTGAGGCCCAACAAGTCAACATGAAAGTACAAAGAAAGATATGGGTGAGCTCGAGCTTGTCGTCATTACGGAGGTGGAATGTCGTGGTCCCAAAGGGCTAGGCCATGTAGCGAAAGTTAGGTTCCTTCGTCTTCGCATGTCGATCGGGCTGAACTCAGACTACCAGTGTCTCCTAAGCTGATGGAGATGGGTCCCGCTTGCCATCAAATAATAGACTATCAAAAATAGTAAACAAAAAAAACAGCCCAAAATTTAAAATTTTAGAGACCCTTTTCTCACATTTCAATCTTTAAGACATTTATCATTGAAATTCGAAATTACAACTATAAAGAGGATAGTTTTGATTTATTTTTGACAAATTTATTGTTGCTGAAAATAGAACTGATAATAGAAAATAGAACTATTAGAACTATCTAATTTATAAATTTCTTACATCATATTACATGCATGAAAAATTAAATCAATTAGATCTATTGATACCAAAAGATACTAAGAAGATTATTATTGAGTCAAAAGAATGATCTAGTAGCATGAAATGTTGGAATACTAATGCAGGACGGGGCGAGAACCCTTGTACCTAATCAATGAAACTCAAGACTCAGGATTGGATAGTCGAACCGATCCGATCAGAATGTATGGACCCTAGACTCTAGGTCTGACCACGTAACCTAAGTATATGTAGGTGTACCAATATGCTTGATCAACCCAGGACAACCCGGAGAAACACTCGACGATGGTAAGTGTGAGGCCCTCTCGGTCCACGTCTGGATGGATGGTGGAATAGTAATTGTGAGGTAGCCTAGAGCTGCATATCATGAATGGTGACGTGACGAATCTAGAATAGCGTCGGAAGTCATGATTCGATAACCATCCTATCTTGTCTATGTTCTCTTGATGGCGGTGGAGATGAGGCGAGAAAACCCTTCGAGAGATAATTAAACTTAAGAGGAAGAGGTATGGAGCTAACCTTCGGGGCTGCATAGCCCAGTGGGTTGTGACGGAGCAGAGATTCAATGAAGGTAGAGATGTCTGGTGAAGAGTGATGCTCAGTGTCGACAATCGGTCCTTGTCGAGAGTCGTAGAAGTCGTCGTCGTAAGGTGTGGCATAGTCGACGCGGGCGTGGGCCTGTTGGTGGCCAAAGGGCACGCTAGTGGGCATGGGCTCGATGGTAGGCCGAAGGGCATGCTAGCGGGTGTGGGCCCGCTGGTGGGCTGAAGGGCATGCTAGCAGGTGTGCGCAGCAAGCTGCGCAGTGGCCTTAGGGCAGGGGGGCAGTAGTGCCGGGTGGGCACGTGGGCTGCAAGAGCTGGTGTGCGGGGTGCGCATGGTGGCGACGCTTTAGTGAGAATGATGGTGAGCGGGACCCGTCTCCATCAGCTCATGAGACACTGGCAATTTGAGTTCAGCCCAATCGACGTGTGAAGACGAAGGAGCTTGGCTTTCGCTACATGGCTTAGCCCTTTGGGATGACCACATTCCACCTCCGCGACAACGACGAGCTTGAGCTCACCTGTATCTTTCTTTGTACTTTCACATTGACTTGTTGGGCCTCTTTTGTAGCCTTTGTGGCTTATGGGCTTGAGGGTCTCAAGTGGGCCACCTCCCCTTAGCCCACTTGTGGGCCCCCATATAAGGAGAGGTAGGACCCCCCCTCAAAGGGTGCCGTATTTTTGAGAGAGATTATCGTTTTGTGAGTACTTTCTCCGTGATCTAAGATAGGGAGGGAAGGAGAAAGAGGAAGGCCGTTGATACCTTCTTTGAGGACTTCATTCCTCTGTGACGCTGCTGCCTGAGAAGTCCTGCCGCCGCTTGAGACCACTGCCGCCGCTGGCCATCTCATTGCTGCCCGGGAGCTTGCCACCGTCACTGGACGAAACGGTCGTGATTGCCGCTGCAGCCACTATCACCTCTACTGGAACCCTATCATGCCATCGTGATGAAAGGGGCTCACTTTGCCTTGCTACGAGCCGTCGCCGAGCACTTTGCTGGAGTCTCTTGACTCCTAGTTCGACTGCCGCTTTTTCCTCCGGAACTCCACCATAAACTTGCCGGAGTTGCCCTCTGCCGCTCCGCCCAGTCGCTGGCCATTCGCCGATGAATGCCGACCTACCGTCAATGGCGGAAGAGACCCTACAGCAGTGCCGACGAGCCAGAACCAGTCCAAGCTTCGCACAAGCCCCCGACGAGCCAGAACCAGTCCAAGCTCCGCACAAGCCCCCGCCAGAGTTTCCCGATGCTCCGCCACCATCGCATCATTTCTGGCACCACTTAGACCAGGAGAGCTCAACCCTCCCTAGTATCGTCGGCCGGATCGTCTCCTCTTTGCTCTACTTCCCGGCACCGCCAAAGAGGCCGATCCTTCTAGTGATGGTTGGGTTTTCGCCCCAACCACTGACGCTCGACATTCCCGCCGAAGTGCCGCTGACGTTCGACATTCCTACTGAAGCACTACTGACGCTTGGCCTTCCCGCCGAATGTCGACGCCCGGCATTCCCACCTCGTCCTGCATCAAATTGGTATCAGAGCCAAGTTAGGATACCACCTAATGTCGGTCCCCTGAGGACGCTCACCGAGCTTCCATACCCCTAGTCGACCGTTCATATAGGATTGCATTGGTATCTAGACACCCATAAGACCCAGCCATGGTAGAGACAGACATGCTCAGCTAGAGCTCGAGGAGGTTCACCATCGTCACAGCACTCGCATGAGGCCTCAGATCTCGCTACTTCCCGAGTAGCTAGAGTGGACAGTTTCCTACACCCATAGACTATCTAATAGTAGGTATGCAAGTGGAAGATCTCTTCAAAGTGAAGGTCGAGATGGACCATGGCCAGCCTTGACCCAACGGTAAATGCCCACGTATGCGCCTTTATTTTTCTTCTAAATATTAGATTTCCGGAGAATCTTTCTAAAGAATCTATCTGGCAAACACGAGTCCACCATCTCCATCAAGATCAACGAATTCGGTACCAGACCCCTCCCAACCCCGGGAGACTTTGAGCCCTATGTTGGCTAGAGAGGCATCAGGATGGCCCCAGCCACCCGCGGCTACGACCGTCGAGCTCGGAAGGAATCCACGCCCTACTATCCATCGAAGAGTAGTAGGGGTCATGACAGAGGTGGCCGATGGCAACCTTCACCTCGGTACCCTTCAAGGGATGGAGCGTGCCCCCTCCTAGATGATGTCATGAGTAGCATGACCTAGGCTATTGAGCGTCTGGAGAGCTATCTTTGTAGCTGCAGCTCATGGCCCACCACCACCGGCTCTACCGCCGGTCGCATATCCGGTCACACCATTGACCGCACCGCTTGTTACACAGGCATATCAAGAGCATCGCGAGCCCTGCTGACCCGTTAGCCCCTATGGTGATCCATATGATCACTAGTACCTCGATCATGATCATCGTCAAGGGAATCTTCATCGTCACGATGCACCTCATCATAACAATGGCCATGATCGATTGGGCGGTCATTGGCCATAGGATACTTGACGTGACTTAGTCATTGTATATTAAATCAGACAAATCAAAAATTTATAAAACTAGAAAATATAAATTTTTAGATATTTAGAAGTATTTCTAAATAAATATATCAATTATAATTCAATAAAACTTCCAAAAAAGTAGTAATTTTCCAAGTCAGTCATAGGGATGTAATATAATATCTGGTAATTATTCAGAATTTTCATTAATGAATATGATTTTTTATGAATTTTATACTAAGAAATGAAAAGGAAATATATTTAAAATTCATGAAAAAGGAAAATAAGGATGCGGAGGTCAGGATGACATCAGCGCCTGACGAGCACGAATAAAAGCCGAAAGAATCATAATAGAACAAAATATATTTTGGTAAATTAAAATCACAAAAATTATAATTAAATGAAGCATAAAGTAAGTTGAAAGCAGGAAAACAGAGTTCCAGCATCGCGATGGTGATGCGTCGGCGATGCACTGGAATCTTGAGCATTCGGGAGAATCGTCATGTAGTGTTCGCAGCCTTGAAGGCTCTCTTTGGATAGAGACGACGTGGCCAATCTCTAGATCTGCTCGCGAAGTCTAGAGATTAATGAAATGAGTCGTTGAGTCATCTCTGGCGGCTGTCACCCGGCGGAGTGGAAAAACGGTGACTTTGTGGCTCTCCGGCGACTGTCACCCGACGGAGAGGAGTTGGATGGAGGTGGGGTGCGTGCCAAGGAGCTTCATCCTCAGGTCCGCGCAGCAAGAGGAGGCTTTTCATCACATCTGGTACGTGATAAGTCTTCATTATCATGAGTTAATAATTAGTAAATAATATAGTTTTAGCCTTAACTCATGATAAATAGACTTATATTTGTGTTAAAGCATGAAAAGTGGTTTTTAGTTGATTAACGTGAATTTTTGGGTAATTATGTGATTTTATACGATTTTTACAGTCTTAGTTTTGAGATAAATGAAGAACAAGAAATAAAAATAAAAATATTGCAAAATGGGGGGATCCGCCGGCCAGCCGGGCCTGCAAGCGGGTCGGAAGCGCAGTCGGGGAGTAGCCACGAGCAAGGGCTCGAGCGGCTTGCTTGGATCGATAGGGGCACGTGTGCGCCACTCCCCTTCCACGTCACTGGTGGTCAGCCGGCCGTGGGGCAAGGAGTGGTCGTACACGCGAGAGGACTTTGCCTAGAAAGCTAACTTTACTATATATTCGCCCGAATAATCCGCGCACAACCAATGTGGGACTAAATCCACCTTGTAAGGCGCGGGCAACCGCCGCGGGTTCGAATCCTCCCAGAGTCAAAATTCATATATTTTTAACTGATTATCGCGACTTTCCTGCAGATCGCCGGTGAAGGATTAAGCAACCGGAATCGCTGGATCATCGGCGAAAATCTCGTCAACGCGATTCGCGGAGCATTGCTACTAAAATTTCTGAACGATTCGCGATAAAAGGATTGCAATCCATCGAGTAAATCATCTCCGATTGATCGACGAACAAGCCGTCGTCGGGAAGAGGACGATCCGCCGGGAGACCAGTCGCCACCTCCTAAGAGCGTACCAGATGCGATGAAGAGCCTCCTCTTGCTGCGCGGACCTGAGGATGAAGCTCTCTAACATGCGCCTCACCTCCATCCAGCCCCTCTCTGTCGGGTGACAGCCGCCGGAGAGCCGCAAAGTCGCTGTTTTTCCGCTCCGCCGGGTGACAGCCGCCGGAGACGATTCGACGACCCACTTCATTGGTCTCTAGACTTCACGAGAAGATCTAGAGATTGCCCACATCGTCTTTGTCCAAGGAGAGCCTTCAAGGCCGTGGACACTGCACGACGACCCTCCCGAACGCTCAGGATTCCGGTGCATCGCCGATGCGTCGCCGTCGCGACGCCGGAACTCTGTTTTCCTGCTTTATCTAGAGATTGCCCACGTCGTCTTTGTCCAAGGAGAGCCTTCGAGGCCGTGGACACTGCACGACGACCCTCCCGAACGCTCAGGATTCCGGTGCATCGCCGACGCGTCACCGTCGCGACGCCGGAACTCTGTTTTCCTGCTTTATCTAGAGATTGCCCACGTCGTCTTTGTCCAAGGAGAGCCTTCGAGGCCGTGGACACTGCACGACGATCCTCCCGAACGCTCAGGATTCCGGTGCATTGTCGACGCATCACCGTCGCGACGCCGGAACTCTGTTTTCCTGCTTTCAATTTAATTTACGCTTCATTTAGTGATACTTTGTTGATTTTTATTTACTAAACTATACTTCGTTCAATTACGATTCTTCCGGCTTTTACAGATCTTAATTTGATTAATTGAGTCGTCTATAATCGCCTACGTAAGAATCGTCGGGCGGAACTCTGTTTCCGCCTGATTCGCATTCGCCGGGCGCTGACGTCATCCTGACGTCCGCACCCTTATTTCCTTTTTTTTTGTGAATTTTAAATATATTTCCTTTTTATTTCCTAGTATAAAATTTGTAAGAAAATCGTACTCATTGAGAAAAATTCTGAATAATTACCGGATATTATATTACATCCCTGTGATCGACCTGGAAAATTACCACTATTTTTGAAAGTTTTATTGAATTATAATTGATATATTTATTTTGAAATACTTCTAAATATCCGAAAATTCGTATTTTCTAGTTTTATAAATTTTAAATTTGCGTGATTTAATATACAACGACTGAGTCACGTCAAATTTTGGCGCCGTTGCCGGGGATGTATTGAATAATATTTAGTATTTTTCTGTTTTTCTCTTATAGTACACAAAAAAAAAACTTTACTCTTGTTTTATTTTCTTTTTGCCGATTTTATTAGAAAAAGGGAACGAAAAGAAGCACGGCAAGGACTGGAGCATCCTGAAGGAGGGTAATAGTTACTAACTTTTTCCGTCGAATTTATTGATTTTTATGCATAGTAGAAGATCCTTGCATCCAAGGCTAGAAAATTCTTTCATTATTTCATTCAAAAATAAAAATCCGAAAGAAAAATTAATTTTGATGGATCCTGAAGGAAGTACAGGTCAAACTGAGAACAATCCTATGGCCATGAAAAATCATTATATCCTTGATTCATTTCAAAGAGCATCTAATATTAGAGTCCCATTAGCACCCACTGTTAAATTCGAAATAAATCCAGGAATTTTTCAAATGCTCCCTAATTTTCATGGATTGCCTTTAGAGGAACCTCATCAGCACTTAGAAAAATTTCATATGTCTGTGATTTAGTTAATCTCCCTCAAGTTACACCAGAAATTATTAAGATGAAATTATTCCCTCATACACTTAGGGACAAAGCTAGTCATTGGCTATCCACATTGGATAGAGAATTAACTAGCTGAAAAGATATAGAATAGGCCTTTCTTCGAAAATTTTATCCCTTAGGAAAAACTCAAAATATGAGAAAACATATATAGAGTTTTTCTCAAAGACCAGGAGAAACTTTGCATGAGACATGGGAAAAATTCAAAGATTTACTTAGAAAGTGTCCTCATCATGCTATACCCAAGTGGCAGCTCAATAGAATTTTTTATGATGGATTACTAGAACAACATAGAAATATGGTTGATTCTATATGTGGAGGAGCTTTTATGGAGAAAACTCTTGATGAGATTTACAGTCTTTATGAGAATTTAAGTGAAAATTCTAGAGATCAAGCCTCTTTTGAATTATATGACAAGGAAATGAAGAGAGAAATTTATGAATTGCATCATGATGATAATTCTAAACTTAGAAATGAGGTTAATCAGATTAATCAAAGATTAGAAAAACTTGATTTACTTATTGACAATATTAGAAAGCCTTTTAACCCTCAATTTAATTCAAATATTACATGTCCTACGTATGGTGAAAATGATCATTTCGAATTTCAATATCATCCTAGGCAAGAACAAGTGCAAGTACCTCACGATTTTAGTAAAAATTGGGAATATTTTTCTAATTCTTATAATCCTAATTGGGGGAATAATTTTTCGTGGAGAAACCCAAATAATATTCAAAATCTAGAAGCACTTAGACCTAATTCAAACTCTGAATTTCGTCCAAAACAAGAAAATAGATTTCAGAAAAATCAGCCCTCTCAAACCCAACCTGATGCTATGGAAATGATGCAACAAATGAGCCAAATGATGCAACAAACTATGAATCAAATGATGTTTCATCAGAAACAAATTATAGAGGCTCTTGAGAATAAGAGAGAAGAGGGACAGCTACCTTGTCAGCCCATAGAAAATTCAGAAAACTGTCCAACAGTAAGATTTCAGCAAGAAGAGTCTAGCTGGATAAATTTAGAAAAAAACCCATGAAATGAAAATTTTAGGACAGTGAATACATTGAGTGAGAATATTTTACCTGATCCTTATTTCCAATTATTAGAAGAAATTGATGATCCATTAGAAGTAAATGAGAATATTAAGGGCAAAAATATAGTAGCAGAAAATTTGAATAAAATCATTTATTGCTCACAATTGATGAATGAATATAGTGAGGATGATGAGGAGAAAGAACCCTTAGATGAAGAAACAACAACTGATCATAGAAAAATCGTCCAAATTTTAGTAGAAGGGAGTAAGGACAGAAATGAAGAAAAATATATTTCAGGTGAGGAAAAATCAATTGATTTGGGAGATGTAGGAGACGAAATTAATGAATCTAATCATAATTTTGCAGCCATGGATGTTGATTGTGAGGATGATGATGTATATCATATACCAAAATTACAAGATAGCTCTTGGGAAGATGAAGAATTTGATGAGTTGAGAAACGAAAAGTTAGAAAAAGAATTGATTCAACTAATGGGAACAAGCGAAAATAATAGATATGAATATAGAGATAATTTTGGAGGAGAAAATTTGAATTTTACTGAATTCATTAGATCTGAGATTAAAGAAGACAATCCTTCCATCGTTCAAAACCCACAGCCCATTAGAATTATTTCTAAGCATGAAATATTTCACTCCTCACAAATTGAACAAATATGTATGGAAGATAAAATGGAGCAGGGGAAGATTATGCAGATAAAAGAAGAAATTAAGAAATGGGTGAGTGGAAGAATTAGAAATACCAATTTAGATGAAAAAATTTTAGATTGGGCAAAAGCTAATTTGAAAATTATATGGCCTGATCACATTTTATGGTTTATTAATAGAAAGTATTTATTAATGAATGAGAGCCTAACAAAACAAGATAGAAACAAGGAAAGATTCTTTTCAAAATGGAAATATTATTTTTGGGAAAATTTTTTTAATTTCCATTTTGTTTTGGCTGAAAGTATGTCAAGGTATATATATGAAGTATATGAATTTATGCTAAATCTGAAAAAGAATATCATAAAACGTACCTTGGGATACAAATACATTTTGATGGCCATAGATCAGCTTATATGATATAAGAGCTGTCCAGCTGGAGACATTAAATTCAGCGCTGCATGGGAGGCAACCCATGGTTTTTATTTCATTCTGTTTGATTTTTTTTAAGCTCTGTTTTTCTTAGAATTTCGCAGTACTTGTTTCTGTATTTGTTTTTTCGAAGAAGTGCAGGAGGAGGTGTGTAAGATGAAGTGGAAAATTAAAAACGAGGTTGAGGTGATGTCTTTCTGAGCTTCATCATTTATGAAAATATTTTTAATGCTTAACTTTGCAGATATGCATGCTTCACTTGAAAATTATATTTTCTGCATATTCTGTTTCGAGTTTTCTGTGTCATTGAGGACAATGTCATTTTTAAGTTGGGGGGTGAAGTATTCATTATTAATTTATGCTGTAGGACGATTAAGAACATGTGTTTGCATTTTATTCAACTTAGAACAGCAACTAAAAAAATAAAAATAAAATAAAATTCGGAAAAATTGCAACATCTATTTTCTGGTTTTCTGTCAGAAACAACAGACTGTCAAAAACAGCAGACAAAAAACAGCCCGAAATTTGAAATTCTAGAAGACCCTTTTCTCACATTTCAATCCCCTAGACATATATTATTGAAATTCGAAATTACAGCTATAAAGAAGATAGTTTTGATTTATTTTTGACAAATTTATTGCTGCTAAAATAGAACTGAAAACAGAAAACAGAACTGTCAGAACTATCTAATTTACAAATTCCTTACATCATATTGCATGCATGAAAAATTAAATCAATTAGATTGATTGATATCAAAAGATACTAGGAAGATTATTATTGAGTCAAAAGAATGATCTAGTAGCATGAAATGTTGGAATACTCCTTGGACACATGATAGATAACATGGATTTGATTTTACAGATTTTCACTTCATGATCTTGATGGATAATATTTACTTGATGTGAAAATTTGATTGATCATTTGAGTTTAATGGAGATTTTTGCACCCTAATCTATAGGACTTGTGAGGAGAAATCACTTATTTCAAAAAAAAAAAAAGAAAAAAAAAAAGAGAGAGCAATGTGAAAAATCTAGAAACGAAGAGTACACATGGAGGGTGTGAGACATCATTCTCATTGTCGAAAATCGTGCATAGAAAAACACTTGCTGAAAAATAAGTGGATAAAGTGAAAGCCCTGAAAATGAAGAGTACACATGGAGGGTGTGAGACATCATTCTTATTGTCGAAATTTGTCTACAGGAAAAGCTACTTATCCACTATATATATAAAAAAAAAAAAAGAAGGAAGAAATATAGTACAAACTTCAAAAATCAAGTCATAGAAAAAGGGAAATGTAAGATCTATATTATTCTTGGATGAGTATTGATAATTGGAACATCTTGTAAATACATCTATGAGTGAAGAAGTGATAAAGATGTGAATAGAAGAAGTGAAGTCTAGATTGTTATTTCAAGGAGTGTTTAAACATTTAAGTGCTTGACATCATTCTTAAATACTTGATATAAGAATCTAAAGTGTTTAAAGGTGCATCATTTCTAATTGTATTTCTTTTCTTTATTGAAATATGATGTTTGAGATTTGTAAATTTTTATTTTCGTAATTCCATTGCTAAGGGACTAGCAATGATTTAAGTTGGGGGGTGTGATAAGTCTTCATTATCATGAGTTAATAATTAGTAAATAATATAGTTTTAGCCTTAACTCATGATAAATAGACTTATATTTGTGTTAAAGCATGAAAAGTGGTTTTCAGTTGATTAACGTGAATTTTTGGGTAATTATGTGATTTTATACAATTTTTACAGTCAGTTTTGAGATAAATGAAGAACAAGAAATAAAAATAAAAATATTGCAAAATGGGGGGATCCGCCGGCCAGCCGGGCCCGCAAGCGGGATGGAAGCGCAGTTGGGGAGTAGCCGCGAGCAGGGGCTCGAGCGGCTTGCTTGGATCGATAGGGGCACGTGTGCGCCACTCCCCTTCCACATCACCGGTGGTCAGCCGGCTGTGGGGCAAGGAGTGGTCGTACACACGAGAAGACTTTGCCTAGAGAGCTAACTTTACTATATATTCGCCCGAATAATCCGCGCACAACCGATGTGGGACTAAATCCACCTTGTAAGGGGCGGGCGACCGCCGCGAGTTCAAATCCTCCCAGAGTCAAAATTCATATATTTTTAACTGATTATCGCGACTTTCCTGCAGATCGTCAGTGAAGGATTAAGCAACTGGAATTGCTGGATCATCGGCGAAAATCTCGTCAACGTGATTCACGGAGCATTGCTACTAAAATTTCTGAACGATTCGCGATAAAAGGATCGCAATCCATCGAGTAAATCATCTCCGATTGATCGACGAACAAGCCGTCGTCGGGAAGAGGACGATCCGCCGGGAGACCAGTCGCCACCTCCTGAGAGCGTACCAGATGCGATGAAGAGCCTCCTCTTGCTGCGCGGACCTGAGGATGAAGCTCCCTAACACACGCCTCACCTCCATCCAGCCCCTCTCTGTCGGGTGACAGCCGCCGGAGAGCCGCAAAGTCGCCGTTTTTCCGCTCCGCCGGGTGACAGCCGCCGGAGACGATTTGACAACCCACTTCATTGGTCTCTAGACTTCGCGAGAAGATCTAAAGATTGCCCACGTCGTCTTTGTCCAAGGAGAGCCTTCGAGGCCGTGGACACTGCACGACGACCCTCCCGAACGCTCAGGATTCCGGTGCATCGCCGATGCGTCGCCGTCGCGACGCCGGAACTCTGTTTTCCTGCTTTATCTAGAGATTGCCCACGTCGTCTTTGTCCAAGGAGAGCCTTCGAGGCCGTGGACACTGCACAACAATCCTCCCGAACGCTCAGGATTCCGGTGCATCGCCGACGCATCGCCGTTGCGACGCCGGAACTCTATTTTCCTGCTTTCAATTTAATTTACGCTTCATTTAGTGATACTTTGTTGATTTTTATTTACCAAACTATACTTCGTTCAACTACGATTCTTCTGGCTTTTACAGATCTTAATTTGATTAATTGAGTCGTCTGTAATCGCCTACGTAAGAATCGCCGGGCGGAACTGTGTTTCCGCCTGATTCGCGTTCGCCGGGCGCTGACGTCATACTGACGTCCGCACCCTTATTTCCTTTTTTTTCGTGAATTTTAAATATATTTCCTTTTTATTTCCTAGTATAAAATTCGTAAGAAAATCGTACTCATTGAGAAAAATTCTGAATAATTACCAGATATTATATTACATCCCTGTGATCGACCTAGAAAATTACCACTATTTTTGGGATTTTTATTGAATTATAATTGATATATTTATTTTGAAATACTTCTAAATATCCGAAAATTCGTATTTTCTAGTTTTATAAATTTTAAATTTGCGTGATTTAATATACAACGACTGAGTCACGTCAGTACACTCTCAGGAGGTGGCGACTCATCGCTCGGCAGATCATCCTCTTCCCGACGACGACTTGTTCCTCAATCAATCGGAAATGATTTACTCGATAGATTCACGATCCTTTTATCGTGAATCGTTTAGCAATTTTAGTAGCAATGCTCCGCGAATCGCATTGACAAGATTTTCACTGAGGATCCAACGATTCTCATTGCTTAATCCTTCATCAGCGATATGCAAGAAAGTCATGATAATTAGATAAAAATATATGAATTTTGACTCTATGAGGATTCAAACCCACGCCAGTCGCCCGCCTCTTTTGAGGAAAGTGTGACGTGGGTTTAGTCCCACATCGGTTGTGTGCCAATTTTTCGTGCAAATATATAGTAATGTTAGCTTTCTCAACAAAGTCCCTTCTCTCGCATGTATGACCACTCCTTGCCCCAAAGCCAGCTGGCCACTGGTGACGTGGAAGGGGAGTGACGCACACGTGTGCCCCTATTGGTCCAAGCCAAGCCGCTTGAGCCCCTACTTGCGACTACTCCCCAACTGCACTTCTGACCTGCTTGCGGGTCTGGCTGGCTAGCGGGTCCCCCTATTTTGCAATATTTTTATTTTTATTTCTTATTCTTCATTTATCTCAAAAATAAGATTGTAAAAATCATATAAAATCACATAATTACCCAAAAATTCACGTTAATCAATTGAAAATCACTTTTCACACTTCAACATAAATATAAGTCTATTTATCATGAGTTAAGGCTAAAACTATATTATTTAATAATTATTAACTCATGATAATGAAGACTTATCAATACTTATGATCACCGCGAGCTAGTCTACCCTACTTGTAGGGACGATCTCCCACACCCACCACCACCACCACCACCCCGACCCTACTATGAGGACTATCAACCCCACGGATGCGACTAGGGACATGACAGGAGAGACCTTTCGGATTACAGAGCTGACCCTTCCAAACGAGAGGAGCTCGATCGACAAGCAGAGCATCAACCACAAGATCGTGATGATTACTACTGCGACTACCAGCGTGCTCCGGACTTTCACCGAGCACCCTAGGACACCCACTAGGATCGTTACTACGATCAAGGGCGTTACCCGAGTCCTTCCCACCGTGACTTTGGTGGTGACCATAGGGCCGATTGATTGGATGATTGGGACAAGCGACATGAGGATCACAGGGCCCACATATTGAAAAGTGTGTGCGTCGATGTGGCAGTCTTTGATGGCTCTCGTGAGCCCAAGGGCTTCATAGATTGGGAGTCTAGTATGAACTCCTATTTCTAGTGGTACCACATGGATGATGATTTATGCGTAGAGCATATAGAGTGACCCGCCGAGGACATATAGTTCGCCCCACCTCCGACCATCACAAAGATCATGTCCACATGATCTGCACTGACACCGATGACAGCACCGACGCATACTAGCATAGGGAACAGACGGACTACACCGGCGACATCAGTAGGGTCTACACCACCCTTGTGTCCAACACCAGCCGACACATCTGACCGTGCCACGACCGCGTCCCAAGCCCATATCACTTGTTTCAAGTGTAAGGGTAAGGGGCACTGTATGAGCCAATGCCCATCTTCGAATCTCCTCATAGAGATTGAAGAATTGGGTAGTAGTTCACATAAGGATGCCGTCTTTGTAGGCGATAATGTCTACATTGGTGACGAGGGTTTGGCTGAGGAGTGTGATGACACACTTGATTTGACTAGCTATATTCAGATTTGGCCAGCCACTGTACCAACAGCTGAGGCTGCCTCTCTCGTTGCCTCATCGACGAGCACTTCATCAAGGGGATTGCTCAACATTGCTGTCCAACGTCCATCTTGAGATGCAGTTCCTACACCACAGCCAGACACCACGGCAGCTAGAGAGATCACCCCAACACCGAGGACGACTATGCCCACATCTTTGTCTATGACAAACGATTCTCTTCGCATGTCAATCTTTTACACCTATGTGAAGAAGAACAGACACGCGTGCAAGGTGATCATGGACATCAGTTGTTGTGTTAGTACTATGTCAAACCAGGTCTTGCAGAGGAAAAGGCCTAGTACTTTTAGTCATCCAGCCCCTTACGACATATGATGGATAGATGCCACCGCACTACCCATTCGTCGACAGTGCCAAGTGCCACTTAGGGTACAAGCACTCTCGGAGGGTCCATCCTGAGATCATAAGGACTTCCTTGTGGTCAACGGATGTATGTTCTTTAGGGGCAGACTGTGCATTCCACACACATCCCTCTATGACTTCCTCACTTGGGAATGTCATGCAAGAGGTCTATCTAGCCAATTCGGTCACGATAAGACCATCATAGCGGTCGAGTATCAGTTCTACTGGTCGACCCTCAAGCGTGATGTAGGGAACATCGTTGCTCAATGTTGAGTGTGCGCAATCGCCAAGCAGGTAAAGAAGAATGTTGGACTCTACACGCCACTTCCAGTGCCGACCCGCCCATGGGAGGACATCAGCATAGACTTCATTTTGGGACTCTCGCACACTACACGATGACATGACTTGATCATGGTGGTCATCGATAGGTTTTCAAAGATGGCACACTTCGTGTCATGTTTGAAAACCTCCGACGACTCCAAGGTCGCTAGCCTCTACTTTAGAGAGATTGTGCACCTTCATAGTCTACTGACGTGACTCAGTCGTTGTATATTAAATCACGCAAATATAAAATTTATAAAACTAGAAAATACGAATTTTCGGATATTTAGAAGTATTTCAAAATAAATATATCAATTATAATTCAATAAAAATCCCAAAAATAGTGGTAATTTTCCAGGTCGATCATAGGGATGTAATATAATATCTGGTAATTATTCAGAATTTTTCTCAATGAGTACGATTTTCTTACGAATTTTATACTAGGAAATAAAAAAGAAATATATTTAAAATTCACAAAAAAAAAAGAGGAAATAAGGGTGCGGACGTCAGGATGACGTCAGCGCCCGGCGAACGCGAATCAGGCGGAAACAGAGTTCCGCCCGGTGATTCTTACGTAGGCGATTACAGACGACTCAATTAATCAAATTAAGATCTGTAAAAGCCGGAAGAATCGTAGTTGAACGAAGTATAGTTTGGTAAATAAAAATCAACAAAGTATCACTAAATGAAGCGTAAATAAAATTGAAAGCAGGAAAACAGAGTTCCGGCGTCGCGACGGCGATGCGTCGGCGATGCACCGGAATCCTGAGCGTTCGGGAGGATCGTCGTGCAGTGTCCACGGCCTCGAAGGCTCTCCTTGGACAAAGACGACGTGGGCAATCTCTAGATAAAGTAGGAAAACAGAGTTCCGGCGTCGCGACGGCGACGCGTCGGCGATGCACCGGAATCCTGAGCGTTCGGGAGGGTCGTCGTGCAGTGTCCACGGCCTCAAAGGCTCTCCTTGGACAAAGACGACGTGGGCAATCTCTAGATAAAGCAGGAAAATAGAGTTCCGGCGTCGCGACGGCGACGCGTCGGCGATGCACCGGAATCCTGAGCGTTCGGGAGGGTCGTCGTGCAGTGTCCACGGCCTCGAAGGCTCTCCTTGGACAAAGACGACGTGAGCAATCTCTAGATCTTCTCGCGAAGTCTAGAGACCAATGAAGTGGGTCGTCGAATCGTCTCCGGCGGCTGTCACCCGGCGGAGCGGAAAAACGGCGACTTTGCGGCTCTCCGGCGGCTGTCACCCGGCGGAGAGGGGCTGGATGGAGGTGAGGCGCGTGTTAGGGAGCTTCATCCTCAGGTCCGCGCAGCAAGAGGAGGCTCTTCATCGCATCTGGTACGCTCTCAGGAGGTGGCGACTGGTCTTCCGGCGGATCGTCCTCTTCCCGACGACGGCTTGTTCGTCGATCAATCGGAGATGATTTACTCGATGGATTGCGATCCTTTTATCGCGAATCGTTCAGAAATTTTAGTAGCAATGCTCCGCGAATCGCGTTGACGAGATTTTCGCCGATGATCCAGCGATTTCGGTTGCTTAATCCTTCACCGGCGATCTGCAGGAAAGTCGCGATAATCAGTTAAAAATATATGAATTTTGACTCTGGGAGGATTCAAACCTGCGGCGGTCGCCCGCCCCTGAAGGTTTAGTCCCACATCGGTTGTGCGCGGATTATTCGGGCGAATATATAGTAAAGTTAGCTTTCTAGGCAAAGTCCTCTCGCGTGTGCGACCACTCCTTGCCCCACAGCCGGCTGACCACCGGTGACGTGGAAGGGGAGTGGCGCACACGTGCCCCTATCTATCCAAGCAAGCCGCTCAAGCCCCTGCTCGCGGCTACTCCCCGACTGCGCTTCTGACCCGCTTGCGAGCCCGGCTGGCTGGCGGATCCCCCCATTTTGCAATATTTTTATTTTTATTTCTTGTTCTTCATTTATCTCAAAACTAAGACTGTAAAAATCGTATAAAATCACATAATTACCCAAAAATTCATGTTAATCAACTGAAAACCACTTTTCATGCTTTAACACAAATATAAGTCTATTTATCATGAGTTAAGGCTAAAACTATATTATTTACTAATTATTAACTCATGATAATGAAGACTTATCATCTACCCAAGTCTATAGTCTTAGACTATGATGTACAGTTTACGAGCCACTTCTGGAAGACTCTTTGGAGCTTACTTGGGACTAAGCTCAAGTTCTCCACTACTTACCACCCACAAACTGACGGCCAGATCGAGGTTGTCAATCATAGCTTAGGGAATCTACTTCGGTCATTAGTCGGTGAGAGCTTAACCACTTGAGATCTGATCATACCACGTGCCGAGTTTGCCTATAACTCCTCGACCAACCATACCTCTGGCATGAGCCCCTTCGAGATCGCACACGGCTTAGTACCTCGCAAGCCCCTAGATCTAGTACCCTAGACCCTCATGTTAGAGTTTCCGAGGATGGTGTCGCATTCGCCCAACATGTTAGTCAATTGCATCAGGACATCTAACTTGACTCAGTTGTTGTATATTAAATCATGCAAATATAAAATTTATAAAACTAGAAAATATGAATTTTTGGATATTTAGAAGTATTTCTAAATAAATATATCAATTATAATTCAATAAAAATTCCAAAAATAACGGTAATTTTCCAAGTTGATCACAAGGATATAATATAATATATGGTAATTATTCAAAATTTTTCTCAATGAATATGATTTTATATGAATTTTATACTAGGAAATAAAAAGGAAATATATTTAAAATTCATGAAAAAGGGAAATAAGGGCGCGAACGTTAGGATGACATCAGTGCCCGGTGAGCGCGAATCAGGCAGAAATAGAGTTCCACCCGGTGATTCTTACGTAAGTGATTACAAATGATTTAATTGATCAAATTAAGATCTATAAAAGCCAGAAGAATCGTAATAGAACAAAGTATATTTTGGTAAATTAAAAATATAAAAATTATCACTAAATGAAATGTAAAGTAAATTGAAAGCAGGAAAATAGAGTTCCAACGTCGCGACGACGATGCGTCAGCAATGCACCGGAATCCTGAGCATTCGGGAGGATTGTTGTGTAGTGTTTAAATGTTTAAACATTCATTGGAATAACAATCTAGACTTCACTTCTTCTATTCACATCTTTATCACTTCTTCACTCATAGATGTATTTACAAGATGTTCTAATTATCAACACTCATCCAAGAATAATATTGATCTTACATTTCCCTTTTTCTATGACTTGATTTTTGAAGTTTGCACTATATTTCTTCCTTTTTATATATATATATATAGTGGATAAGTAGCTTTTCTTGTAGACAAATTTCGACAATAAAAATGATGTCTCACACCCTCCATGTGTACTCTTCATTTTCAGGGCTTTCACTTTATCTACTTATTTTTCAACAAATGTTTTTTTATGCACGATTTTCAACAATGAGAATGATGTTTCACACCCTCTATGTGTACTCTTCATTTTTAGATTTTTCACATTGTTCTCTCTTTTTTTTTTTCGAAATAAGTGATTTTTCCTCACAAGTCCTATAGATCAGGGTGCAAAAATCTCCATTAAACTCAAATGATCAATCAAATTTTCACATCAAGTAAATACTATCCATCAAGATCATGAAGTGAAAATCTGTAAAATCAAGTCCATGTTATCTATCATGTATCCAAGGAGTATTCCAACATTTTGCGCTACTAGATCATTCTTTTGACTGAATAATAATCTTCCTAGTATCTTTTGGTGTCAATCAATCTAATTGATTTAATTTTTCATGCATGTAATATGATGTAAGGAATTTGTAAATTAGATAGTTCTGACAGTTTTGTTTTCTATTTTCAATTCTATTTTTAGCAGCAATAAATTTATCAAAAATAAATCAAAACTATCCTCTTTATAACTGTAATTTTGAATTTCAGTAATATATATCTAGGGGATTGAAATGTGAGAAAAGGGTCTTCTAGAATTTCAAATTTCGAGCTAGTTTTTGTCTGCTGTTTTTGACAATCTGTTGTTTCTAATAGAAAACCAGAAAATAAATGTTGCAGTTTTTCTGAATTTTATTTTATTTTTATTTTTTGTTGTTGTTCTAAGTTGAATAAAATGGAAACACATGTTCTTAATCGTCTTACAGCATAAAATAATGAATACTTCACCCCCCAACTTAAAAATGACATTGTCCTCAATGACACAGAAAACTCGAAACAAAATATGTAGAAAATATAATTTTCAAGTGAAGCATGCATATCTGCAAAGTTAAGCATTAAAAATATTTTCATAAATGAAGAAGCTCAGAAAGACATCACCTCAACTTCGTTTTTAATTTTTCACTTCATCTTACACTCCTCTTGCACTTTTTCAAAAAAAAATAAATACAGAAACAAGTATTGTGAAATTCTAAGGAAAACATAATTTAAAAAAAATCAAACAGAATGAAATAAAAACCATGGGTTGCCTCTCATGCAGCACTGAATTTAATGTCTTCAGCTGGACTCCTTGGTCTTACTCTTGAATTTCTTTTAATAATAAAATTTCTTTTTCTGCAAGACGTTCATGTTCTATGTAATGTTTAAGCCGCTGTCCATTTACCTTAAAGTTATGATCACTTTTAAGATCTTTAATCATGACAATCCCATAATCATATGTCTCTTCCACCACATAAGGCCCTTTCCATTTTGATTTTAATTTTCCTGGGAATAATTTCAGCCTAAAATCATATAACCATACTTTTTCTCCGACATCAATTTTTTTTTTCTACTAATGTATTTATCATGAAAAGTTTTAGTTTTTTCTTTATATATTTTATGATTTTCATAAGCTTTATTCCTCAACTCCTCTAGTTCATATAGCTGAAAAATTCTATACCCACCAGCTGATTTTTCATCCATACATAAATATTTTATATCCCATAATGCTTTATGCTCTATTTTCACAAGAAGATGACATGGCTTTTCAAAATTGAGACGAAATGGGGACATACCTATGGGATTTTTATAAGCTGTTCTATAAGCCCATAATGCATCTTGTAATTTCGTGGGCCAATCTTTCCTATCTGGTCTAACTATTTTTCTCAAAATTCTCTAAATTTTCCTATTTGCTACTTCAACTTGCCCATTTATTTGGGGATGATATGGAGTGGCTACTCTATGATGTACTCCATTCTTTTTCAACAGTTCCCTGAAATGTTTATTTGTAAAATGTGTTTCTCCATCACTAATAATCACTCTAGGACATCTAAATCTCGAAAAAATATTTTCCTACACAAATTTCATCACGATTTTATGATCATTAATTCTAGTAGGAATAACTTCCAGTCACTTCGACACATAATCAACAGCAAGCAAAATATATTCATATTTTTCAGCTGATGGGAAGGGACCCATGAAATCTATTCCCCATACATCAAAAATTTCGACTACTAACATATTACTCATGGGTATTTCATCTTTTTTACTCATGTTACCTATAGATTGGCATGAAATATATGTTCTACTAAATTCTATAGAATTTCTAATGATTGTAAGCCAATAAAAACCACACTGAAAAATTTTTACAACTGTTTTTCATCTAGAGAAATGTCCTCCACATTTAGATGAATGACACATGTTAATAATGCTATGATATTCTTCTTCAAGAACACATCTCCTTAAAATTTGATCATTGCCCAAGTAATATAAATCAGGATCATACCAAAAATAATTTCTAATCTTAGAAAAGAAATGATATTTTTTGTTCTTATCCCACTGTTCTGGAATTTTTCCAGAAACCAGAAAAATAACAATATGTGCATACCATGGTGATGGTTGATGTTGAGTTGTCATCAATTGTTCATCTAGAAATGCGTCTTATAAAAGTGCTGCATTTATTCCTATATCACTTAATCTAGAAAGATGGTTAGTAACAACATTCTCAAAACCTTTTTTATCTTTTATTTCTAAGTCAAATTCCTACAACAATAAAATCCATCTTAATAAACGTGGCTTTGCATCTTTCTTATTTAACATATATTCGAGTGGATTACAATGTGCCTTATCCGTCTTGTGCTGATAGGTAAAGTGCATTCCACATCGGTGGTATGGGATGAGTGCCATGATGATGTCATAGTTGTGGCTTGTGATAGACCTGAAAATAGAAATAAAGGAAACACGTACCTGTATCTCCATTGTGGTCTTCAGCGGCTAATAGTAACCACCCCTAGTCTCCTCCAAACAATACGCCACTGCCGTGGAGGGGCCGATAGTGGAGTGCGGTGCATGCGTAAAGAAGGTATGCCGAGTCGCTTAAGTCTATGAGCACCTTGGGCTTTGAGGGGCATGTCCTGCCAAAAAGAGAAGATTGTCCTCCGACGCGATCTGACTCCATGCATAGCAAGGGCGTCAGCTATTTGATTCCCTTCTCGAAACTGATGCGTAATAGTTGTGATGCATCCTTGACATCGCATGATGTCTGCCCAGATATTCTTGAGCCTCCAATGAGGACAAGAGTCTACACGTAACATGTCCACTAACACTTTGGAATCAGATTCTAAGACAATATTAGTAATATTTTGCTCCTCACAAAGAAGCAAACCATCCCGTATTGCCATAGCCTCTGCCGCAATATTAGTTCATATATTATAAAAGTTCAAAAAGGCAAAGAGAATGCATCCTGTACTAGCGCGTAAGATACCTCCTCCTTCAGATGGTCCTGGGTTACCTTGAGATGCTCTATTGACGTTGAGTTTCCACTGTCCAGTCCTCGGTGGTGTCCATCTAACAGATCAGATAGTAGTATAGGTCTGTGTAGGTATGATATGGAGTTCCCAAAGCCCAAAAGCCTCACAAATAGAATGCGAGTGTTTTGTTTTGTTTGGCACTAAGGAATGAGTACTCCGAAGCCATTGTGTTATGTGCCTTATAATCTCTGTGGCACACATCACTTGGCCTACAAATTGAGATGAGTTACGTCCCTTCCATATTTCCCATAACATATATGCTATGGAGATACGGATGAAGGGACTAACCTTGACACTTGTCGATGAGTCAATGACTCTCCTAAAGACCTCTAGTGATGGTCTCGTAGGTCTGTACGAGAGCATTGAAAGCTAATTCACTAGAAGTTGACGTCAACACTCGATAGTGATATCACTATGGAAAAATAAATGTTCCATACTTTTGTCTGTCATGATAGAGCAACAATGATATCTCCTTTCCACCTCCTAATCGGTGACAATCACTCGATCGTTGGTGGGTAGTCCTCGGTGCATGAACTTCCACAGGAAGAACGAAACACGAGGTGTGATGGCTAGATGTCATATGAGATTTCCCCAAAATGTCTTTGGGGAGCGGTTTCTAAAGTGCTCTTAAGAGGAGCTATAAGAGAAACTGCCATCTACGGTAAGTGTCTAGATGGGTTGGTCCTCAGTAAAACTCGTCTCAGTCATGGTGATGGCTAGTAACAAGTTCGACGGTAGTCCATGCCTCTCAATAAGTAGACGAGTGTCTCCTTGGAGAAGTTAGGCTACTGTCAAGCGAGGCCAAGATGATGTAAAAGTGGTAAAATTGACCAATGGTGTGTCCTCTAGCCAAGTGTCGTACCAGACACTGATCGCGCCTCGCCCCACTCACCAACGAATAAGGGGCACCATCTCCAGCCAATGTCGTTGCCGGTCTGCCCATTGTTTGACTCCTTTGATGTCGGCTGGTTGTCGAGCCCACTCACCATATTTGGCTAACACAAAAGAGCCTAGCATCGATGGTGTGGTCCTCATCCTCCAAATGAGTTTCTTTTGAAACATGTTGAGTACATCTTGAGGGCGCCTGATACCTAGGTCACCCTCATTCGTAGGTCGACATGCTTTCTCCCAAGAAACTCGATGTTGGCGACGAGGTCCCTCAAGTTGTCCATCCCAAAGGAAGGACATGCATATCTATCTAATAGTCTGTAAGACGGTGTCTGGTACCTCATGGACTGCCAAAAGGTGTAATGACATGCTCATGAGGACATGGCGTATCAATTGGATCCGTCCTTCAGAGGATAGAAGCTGTAACTTTTATCTTGCTAGTTTCTTCCTCAACTTGCCCACTAGGGCGTCAAAATAGTGTATGCGCCTACAGCCAAAGAAGATAGGACATCTTAAATAGTCAAAAGGTAAGTGTCCACGAGAGAACCCTATTAGGCCCTGGATGCGTCATATGGTCCCTATGGGGGTAGAAGGGCTTACCATGAAGCTACTCTTCGAGGCATTTACGAGTTGACCTGCAGCTCGCTCATACCTCGAGATAATACTCATGAGCCCTCTAATAGATGTCTCACATCTATTGAGGAAGAGTATCGCATCCTCAGCAAAGAGGGAGTGTGAGATGATCGGATAACCCCTCTTCGAATAGTATGGTTGGATAAGTCCTTGATTGATCGCTCGGGTGAAGGATTGACTGAGGACTTCTTCGACCAAGATGAAGAGGGTGGGTAATAGTAGATCACCCTGTCGTAGACCTCTCGTGGCTGTGAAGAATAGTGTGGAGCTACCGTTCACCAATAAAGAGAAATGATTCTCCCTAACACATGCATCGACTAAGTCAATGAAGTCGTCGGTGAACCCAAAGCATCTAAGAACCTTAATGAGGAAACTCCACTCTATCCTATCAAAGGCCTTTTCCATGTCTAATTTGATGATGATGTTGGAGCCTCAACAATCATGGCTAAGGGACTGTGTTAGTTCATGTACAAGTATGATGTTATCATGAATGTACTGTCCCTTGACAAATTTGCATTACTCTGGAGATATAAGTCTATCAAGAAAATTACTCAATCTACATGTAACGATCTTAGATACAATTTTATAACACATGTTGCATAAACTGATAGGTCAAAAGTCTCTAAATGAGGTTGGGGTAGTCACCTTCGGTATAAGTGCAAGGAAGATGGCCTTCCAACTTTGTGTAAAGACTTTACGACGAAAGATTTCCATGATAGTCTGGATGAGATCAGTGCCAACGATATCCCAACATGAGATGTAAAAATCAGCTGAGAAATCATTGAGCCCGGGTGCACGATGTCTGCTTATAGAGAAAACTACTTCCTTGATCTCTTCTCTCATGGGTATGGCCGTCGTGAGAGAGCTCTCATGGTGAGTGACCAGTGATGTGATTAAAGTGAGCATATCATCAGAAATCTCGATCGGCTGAGAGATTAAGAGAGTAGGAAAGTACTCAACCCTTGCCTCCTGCATGCGGGAAAGGTCCTGATCATATGTCTCTAAAAGAGAGGTATAATTTGAACGTGAGTGGTGAGCGACTGAGGCATGAAAGAAACGAGTGTTTCTATCACCCTCTTGTAACCGCTGGATGCATGATTTCTGGAGATAGAATAACTTCTGTCGTCGCACAACCTCATCAAGCTGGTCACTCACTCTACTCCTCATTTCCCAATCAACATCTGAATATCTAGCTTGCAGTAGTCTTTCAACCTTTGTTAACTCTTTTTGCAATGCATCAACCTGGGTATGGACATTCCCGTAGATATGTCGGTTCCACCATTTAAGGTGGAGTTTGAGATTCCTTAACCTATAGCTAAAGTTCTCCATAGGAGAATCTAAGATATGTCCGTACTAGTGATTCCGTACAAAACTCTGAAAGTCTTCATGTTGGAGCCACATGATCTGAAATCTAAAGAGAGGTCTGTGGGTGCTCAGACTCTGTTTAGGGAGTATGAGGATCGGGGTGTGAACTGACCTATAATGGGGTAATATTGTGACTAATATGGGATGTCGCACCATGGCGATGCTGTTGATGAAGTAGTGATCGATATGTTCATAAATCAAAGCGTCCCCTCGATTGTTGTTCCACGTCCATGCCTTGCCTGATGTAGGTGGCTCAATAAGAGTTAATCAAAAAATGCAGTCATTGAACGTCTCCATGTTACGGGCCCTAGGGATCTGCCCACCTTGACGTTCACTAGTATTACGAACACAGTTGAAGTCACCTGCTAGGTACCAAGGAGACTCAACTAGTGTAGGATAATCTCTCATGTATTGAACTAGATCCGCCCAAAGAGTTTCCCTTTCTTTGGATCTATGTGATGCATAGATGACTGAAAAGGTGAACTCTTGGGTGGGATCTCGAACCGTCATAATGATATACTGGGATCCCTCGACTAGCAACTCCATAGAGTATGGTCTAGTCCAAAAGAGCCAAATATGATTCGTGGGGTTGGAGTGAAAATGATTCATACCTAATCGCCTAAGTAAGGGTTGGATACGATCTGATGATATCATGGGCTCAATGAGGCCTACTATACCAAGTCGATATTGTTTGATAAGGCTAGCTATATAGAATTAGGTTTCGAGGTTCCCTATACCCCGACAACTCCATATGATGCTAGGTATCATGATCTAATGAGTGGCCCCACGAGTCCTAGATCTCGTGGAGTAAGGTGAGCGTCTAGTGAGTCGTGTGGTCCTAGCCTCCGTCTGATATCCCTCCTCTAAGTAGGTAGTCTCAACGTTAGTCTCAGATCCACCATCCTCATGGGTACTAGTTGTGTGGCCACTAGTATCATGAACACTAGATGAAGAGGGTGGGTGCGGTGCTTGACGATTTGTCAAGCATTGTCCTCTATCGAGGCTCTCCCTAGAATCAGCAAGTGGTGGATCAAGTATAGGAAACTAATTTGGCAGGTGTAATAGGGGAGAGGGGGGAAGGGTATAAGAATCAGAAGGGGGGCTACGTAAGATGTACTAATAGGAAGTATGTTGGGGTAGGCCCTCCTAGTAGATCCTCGACGGGGATGTGAGGGGGATGGGTAGTGCCCAAGCCTATACCCTCAGAGAAAGGGGTAGACCTCGATCCGTGGGGACTAAGAGGTGGACTCCTGTTACGTGGGGAAGAGTGAATGGGTGGGGAGGAGCTAGGTGGTGGAGAGACACTAATGGGTGGAGTGGGGTGGGTGAGTATGGGAGGTTGGATAGCCCGGGGTTTAGTGTTCCTTATAGTAAGAACATTATCAGTCTCCTCAATCAAAGTACTGAGAGCATCGAAAGCATTCGATGTTTGGACTATCTTTCCTATGTCTACTGAGACAAGAGGTGATGCTCGTGCTACCGTCTTCCTCCCTTTACGGGTGGAAATGGACGCTCGAGGAATGGAATGTGTCGTCAAAGTAGGTGGAGGTGTCTTGTGAGAACCTGTCAGTAGGGTACTAGCCTAGAATGTTGATGGTCGGGATGGACTGTGTGAGGTCGGTGTAGGACGATGACTAGATGTAGTCTTTCCTACCTCAACAATAAAGTCGTCATATGAGAGAGGTGGTAAGTGAAGAGAAGTAGACCCCAACAGTGATGAAGCATTTTTTTGTCGACATGTGTGAATAGTGTGTCCAAAAACCATGCAATGTGTGCAGAAATGAGGTAATCTCTCATATATAATATTTTGGTAGATTTTCTCATCCCTATTCTGCAAAATAATCATGCACTGAAGGGGGGCTAAGAGGTCTAACTCTACACATACATGGGTATATCCTGGACGATTGAATATTTTAACACCTGGATCTAGGCGTATAAATGTTCCGACTGTATTGGTCAAGGACTCGAGTGCCTTGGGCGTGAATAGATGTGCTGGCAAGCTTGGAAAACCTATCCAAACTAGAGTAGAGTGAGGTTATTTCCCTCGAGAGGTGCCGTTAAGATATGGGGTCCATCTATGAGTGTACATGATAGCATTTTGAATCTCCCATGTGGTTCGGCTCTAGGCTTTCTGATAGTCAGCCTTGAGCTCGAATCGGATGAAGACACTCCAATAATCACGAGCGCTAATGGCTACATTTCCCTGAAAATGTCCAAGGGCTAAATATATTTTCTAGATGTCATCTAAATTGGAACATTTTGTGGTAAAACGTCCAATCAATGCAAACTAGAATGCTTCAGCTAGCTGAGAGACCTCGTTCAAAGAGAATGAGACTATTCTCATTCCTTCTTCCTCGATATAACGTCATGATAAGAGATCCGTAGTGTACATAGGGAGTAATGGAGCTCGGTGTGTGTTCTAAGTTGTAGCAGTTGGCTGTATTCTTGTAAGTCGCTGGGCCCAAGTCTTGGTTAAGGTTTGAGTGGGCTGGGCCGACATATTAGGAATTTGTGTGGGCTGGGTTAGTATGGCTGGGGCTTGAGTTTGGATTTGGGCTGGCTCTACCTGCATAGGTCTTACTTTGGCAATAACAGGCCGCGCATGTGCTTGGGCCCAGACATCCTTGGGTTTCGTGGCCTTGGGTGTTGCTGCCTCAGCTTGAGTGGGTGCCGCCGCCACCATAGTGGTGCCGCCCCCGTCAGCCCCCATTAACGGGGACACGTTGGCTGTCAGGACCGAGGTGACGGCGTCGGCAGAATGCGGCACCTTTATCTCGGCTTCCTCTTGTCCGTTGATCTCAAGATCAACGGTCAGATGATGAAGAGTCGATTTTGAGGAAAAGCTGCCACCTGACACCTTTTCTCTGGAAGCTAATGAGTCCACATCAACGGCGCCGTCTCCTTTCCCGCAAACGAGAGAGATATTACCTTTAGAACAAAAAGTTCGGAAAAATACTTCTCAATGAAGAAATCTTGACAACGAAGGCTTCAATCCACTATTTTCGATGCTTAATAGCTTGAAGTTGATAGATTTTGGCCTTTTGAATCTAATGGAACTGATTTTAGCGCGATCGGAAGTCACATGAAAAAGATATTGCCATTTCAGATGGAGGTCAGTTGAAGGTGAAGAGAGAGAAGCTCCCGCAAGGAGAGAGAAAAAAGTTGAGCAAATGGCTTGGGGGGTAAAAGTTGAGAAAAAAGTTACTAGCATATGAAATTACTATGGGTTTTGACTCTTTTATTTGTCCTAGAATGGCCCCCACTACATAGTTCAATGCATCACACATTATTTCAAAGGGAAGGGACCAATCAAAAGCTTGTAAAATGAGTGCCTCAGTAAGTAATTGATAAGTATTCATTATCATGAGTTAATAATTAGTAAATAATATAGTTTTAGCCTTAACTCATGATAAATAGACTTATATTTATGTTAAAAAATGATTTATGGTTTTCAGTTAATTAACGTGAATTTTTGGGTAATTATGTGATTTTATACGATTTTGATAATCTTACTTTTGAGATAAATGAAGAACAAGAAATAAAAATAAAAAATATTACAAAATGGGGGGACCCACCAGTCAGTCAGGCCAACAAGCGGGTCGAAAGCGTAGTTGGGGAGTAGCTGCGAGCAGGAACTCGAGCAAGTTAGGTTGGACCGATAGGGGCACGTGTGTGCCACTCCCCTTCCATGTCACTGGTGGCCAGCCGGCTGTGGGGCAAGGAGTAGTCGTACACGTGAGAGAAGGGACTTTGCTTACAAAGCTAACATTACTATATATTCGCCTGAAAAATCGGCGCACAATCGATGTGGGACTAAACCCGCGTCACACCTTCCTCACAGGCGGGCAACCGGCGCGAGTTTGAATCCTTCCAGAGTCAAAAGTCATATATTTTTATCTAATTATCGCGACTTTCCTGCAGATTGTTGGTGAAGGATTAAGCAATGAGAATCGCTAGATCATCGGCAAAAATCTCATCAACGTGATTCGTAGAGCATTGCTACTAAAATTGTTGAACGATTTGCGATAAAAGGATTGCAAATCCATCAAGTAAATCATCTTTGATTGATCAACAAACAAGCCGTCGTCGAGAAGAGGACGATCCATCAGGAGATGAGTCGCCACCTCCTGAGAGCGTACCAGATGCGATGAAGAGCCTCCTCTTGCTGCGCGGACCTGAGGATGAAGCTCCTTGACACGTGCCCCACCTCCATCCAGCTCTTCTCCGTTGGGTGACAGCCGTCGGAGAGCTGCAAAGTCGCCGTTTTTCCACTCCGCCGGGTGACAGCTGCCAGAGACAATTAAACGACCCACTTCATTGATCTCTAGACTTCGCGAGAAGATCTAGAGATTGCCCACGTCGTCTTTGTCCAAGGAGAGCCTTCGAGGCCGTGGACATTGCACGACAATCCTCCCGAACACTCAGGATTCCAGTGCATCACCGACGCATCGCCATCGCGACGCCGGAACTCTGTTTTCCTACTTTCAATTTAATTTACGCTTCATTTAGTGATACTTTGTGTGATTTTAATTTACTAAACTATACTTCATTCAATTACGATTCTTCCGACTTTTACATATCTTAATTTGATTAATTAAATCTTTTATAATCACTTACGTAAGAATCACTAAGTGGAACTCTATTTTTGCCCGATTCGCGTTCGCTGGGGATTGACATCATCCTGACGTCCGCACCCTTATTTCCTTTTTTTTCGTGAGTTTTAAATATATTTCCTTTTCATTTCCTAGTATAAAATTCATAGAAAATTGTATTCATTGAGAAAAAATCTGAATAATTACAAAATATTATATTACATCCCTGTGATTGACTTGGGAAATTACCACTATTTTTGAAAGTTTTATTGAATTACAATTGATAGATTTATTTAGAAATACTTCTAAATATCCAAAAATTCATATTTTCTAGTTTTATAAATTTAATATTTGCGTGATTTAATATACAATGACTAAGTCACGTCAAATTTTGGTGCCGTTGTCAGGGATGTATTGCATAATATATAGTATTTTTCTGTTTTTCTCTTAGAGTACACAAAAAAAAACTTAACTCTTGTTTTATTTTCTTTTTGCCGATTTTTATTAGAAAAAGGGAACAAAAAGAAGCACGACAAGGATTTGAGCATCCTGAAGGAGGGTAACAGTTACTAACTTTTTCTCTCAAATTTATTAATTTTTATGCATGGTAGAAGATCCTTGCATCCAAGGCTAGAAAATTCTTTCATTATTTCATTCAAAAATAAAAATCCAAAAGAAAAATTAATTTTGATGGATCCTGAAGGAAGTACAAGTCAAACTGAGAACAATCCTATGGCCATGAAAAATCATTATATCCCTAATTCATTTCAAAGAGCATCTAATATTAGAGTCTCATTAGCACTCACTGTTAAATTCGAAATAAATCCATGAATTTTTCAAATGCTCCCTAATTTTCATGGATTGCCTTTAGAGGAACCTCATCAGCACTTAGAAAAATTTCATATGGTCTGTGATTTAGTTAATCTCCCTCAAGTTACACTAGAAATTATTAAGATGAAATTATTCCCTCATACACTTAGAGACAAAGCTAGTCATTGGCTATCTACATTAGATAGAGAATTAACTAGCTAGAAAGATATAGAATAGGTTTTTGTTTGAAAATTTTATCTCTTAGGAAAAACTCAAAATATGAGAAAGCATATATGGAGTTTTTCTCAAAGACCAAGAGAAACTTTGCATGAGACATGGGAAAAATTTAAAGATTTACTTAGAAAGTGTCCTCATCATGTTATACCTAAGTGGTAGCTCAATAGAATTTTTTATGATGGATTATTAGAACAACTTAGAAATATGGTTGATTCTATGTGGAGGAGCTTTTATGGAGAAAACTCCTGATGAGATTTACAGTCTTTATGAGAATTTAAGTGAAAATTCTAGAGATCAAGCCTCTTTCGAATTATATGACAAGGATAAGAAGAGAAGAATTTATGAATTGCATCATGATGATGATTCTAAACTAGAAATGAGGTTAATCAGATTAATCAAAGATTAGAACAAATTAATTTACTTATTGATAATATTAGAAAGCCTTTTAACCCTCAATTTAATTTGAATAGTACATGTCCTATGTATGGTGAAAATGATTATTCTGAATTTCAATGTTATAATTTAGATCAATCATTTCACCCTATGCAAGAACAAGTGCAAGTAGCTCATGATTTTAATAGAAATAGGGAACCTTTTTCAAATTCTTATAATCCTAATTGGAGGAATAATTTTTCATGGAGAGACCCAAATAATATTCAAAATCCAGAAGCACTTAGACCCAATTCAAACTCTGAATTTCGTCCAAAACAAGAAAACAGATTTCAGAAAAATCAGCCCTCTCAAACCCAACTTGATGCTATGGAAATGATGCAGCAAATGAGCCAAATGATGTAACAAACTATGAATCAAATGATGCAGCACCGGAAACAAATTATAGAGGCCCTTGGGAATAAGAGAGAAGAGGGACAGCTACCTAATCAGCCCATAGAAAATCTAGGGAACCGCCCAACAATAGGATTTCAGCAAGGGGAGTATAGTAGCATGAATCTAGGAAAAAACCCATGAAATGAAAATGTTAAGACAGTGAATGCATTAAGGAGTGGTAAGATCTTACCTGATCCTTATCCCCAAACATTAGAAGAAAAAGAAAACGTGGACAACCCAAAACAAAATCAAATAAGAGTAGAAGAGGATTTTATAGATTCTACCAAAGAAATTTTGAAAGAGAGGACAACCATTCCATTACCTAAAGCTCTAGAGCCTAGACGAGGAAAGAAAAAGGAACACAATGAAGAAATAAAGAAAATTTTACAAGATGTGCAAATTAGTCTTCCTTTACTCACTGCGATTGAACATATTCTTGAATATGCTAGAGTTTTGAAAGAAATGTGTACACCAAAAAGGGCACCTAGAGTAGAAAAATTATCTATGCATATTAGTGCATGATTGTTAAATTAATTATTATTTAAATTGAGGGATACAGGTGCCCCTTTAATTTCGTGTGATATTGGTAGATTCATTTTTCAGAATGTATTACTTGACACTAGTGCTAGTATTAATTTATTACTTGAGAGTATTTGTGATAAATTTAATATTTCTGATCTTAAACCTTCTACTGTTACCTTACAATTTGCTGATAGATCCATAAAACATTCTAAAGGTATTTTAGAAAATGTGATAGTAATAGTTAAAGGGTGTAAATTTCTAACTGATTTTGTAATGTTGGAAATGGATTTTAATGGACAGTTTTATGATACACCAATCATCCTAGGGAGACCATTTTTGCATACAGCAAAGATGAATATTGATTTTCCCACAAGTATTGCGAAAATTTCATGTGGAGATCAATTAGTAGAAATTAAAATTTTTGAGGTATCAGATGATCTTAAGAAATCCCAAGTATATGATTGTCATACCATAGATCTTCTAGATGATTTTGATGATCCAGATGTTATTGATGACTGTGTGTTGGAAGAATTAGAGGAAATAGAGAATATAAATTTGAGAGAAAGGAAAGAGGAAGATCATCTGAATTTAGAGTTGAAACCTCTTCTCTCTAGTTTCAAATATATGTTTTTGGAGGAAAATAATTTATTTCTTATTATTATTGCAGCTGATTTGAGTGATGAATAGGAAGAAGAATTATTAGATGTACTTAGAAAAAATAAGAAAGCTATGGGTTGGAAAATGGACGATCTAAGGGGCATTGATATGAGAGTATGCATGCATAGTATATATTTAGAGGAGGGGGCTAGAACTAGCAGGGAACCACAATGAAGATTAAATCCTAACATGATGGAAATTGTAAAAAAAGAAATTTTAAAGTGGCTAGCTGTTGATATTATTTATCCTATTTCAAATAGCAAATGGGCTAGTCCTACACAAGTAGTGCCAACAAAATCAGGGATCACGGTTATAAAAAACGAAAATGGGGATAAAATACATACAAGACTAACTATCGGTTGGAGAGTTTGCATTGGTTATAGAAAGTTAAATTCAGTTACTAGAAAAGATCATTTTCCCCTACCATTTACTGATCAAATTCTAGAAAAATTAGTTGGAAAAAACTTTTTTTATTTTCTGGATGGATACTCTGGTTATAATCAAATTTATATAAACCCTTTAGATCAAGAGAAAACAACTTTCACTTGTCCATTTGGTACTTTTGCTTTTAAACGCATGCCTTTTGGTTTGTGTAATGCTCCAGCCACATTTCAAAGATGTATGCTGTCTATTTTTTCTGATATGATTAGAAAATACATGGAAATTTTTATGGACGATTTTTCTGTTTTTGGTGAATCATTTGATGAATGCTTCAATCATTTACAGCATGTACTTGAGAAATGCATAGAGAAAAAATTAGTTTTGAGTTGGGAGAAATCACATTTTATGGTTAAAGAGGGAGTTGTGTTGGGTCATATTGTGAGTGAAAAGGGTTTAGAGGTGGATAGAGCAAAAATTGATATTATATCTAAAATGAAACTTCCGAATTTAGTAAAATAGATTAGATCTTTCTTAGGTCATGCAGGTTATTACAAAAAATTTATTCAAGATTTTTTGAAAATTTCTAAACCTCTCACCATGCTATTATCTAGAGATGTGCCTTTTAATTTTGATGAGAAATGTATTGAGTCTTTTTCCGAAATAAAAAGATTACATACTGAGGCACCCATTTTACAAGCTCCTGATTGGTCCCTTCCCTTTGAAATAATGTGTGATGCATCGAATTATGTAGTGGGGGCCATTCTAGGACAAACAAAAGAGTCAAAACCCATAGTAATTTCATATGCTAGTAAAACTATATCCAATACTCAATTAAATTATACCACGACTGAAAAAGAGTTGTTAGCTGTAGTATTTTCGTTAGAAAGGTTTATATCATATAGTTTGGGAGGTAAAATTATTATTTATACTAATCATGCAGTATTAAAATATCTATTAAATAAGAAAGATACAAAGCCATGTTTATTAAGATAGATTTTATTGTTGCAAGAATTTGACTTAGAAATAAAAGATAAAAAAGGTTTCGAGAATGTTATTGCTAACCATCTTTTTAGATTAAGTGATACAAGAATAAAGGCAGCACCTTTACAAGATGCATTTCTAGATGAACAATTGATGGCAGCTCAACATCAACCATCACCATGGTATGCACATATTGTTAATTTTCTGGTTTCTAGAAAAACTCTAGAACAGTGAGATAAGAACAGAAAACATCATTTTTTTTCTAAGATTAGAAATTATTTTTGGCATGATCCTAATTTATATTACTTGGGCAATGATCAAATTTTAAGGAGATGTGTTCATGAAGAAGAATATCATAGCATTATTAACATGTGCCATTCATCTAACTGTGGAGGACATTTTTTTGGACGAAAAACAGCTGCAAAAAATTTTCAGTGTGGTTTTTATTGGCCTACAATTATTAAAGATTCTATAGAATTTAGTAGAACATGTATTTCATGCCAATCTATAGGTAACATGAGTAAAAAAGATGAAATGCCTATGAGTAACATGTCAGTAGTTGAAATTTTTGATGTATGAGGAATAGATTTCATGGGTCCCTTCCCATCAGCTGAAAAATATGAATATATTTTACTTGCTGTTGATTATGTGTCGAAGTGGGTGGAAGCTATTCCTACTAGAACTAATGATCATAAAATCGTGATGAAATTTGTGTAGGAAAATGTTTTTTCGAGATTTGGATGTCCTAGAGTGATTATTAGTGACGGAGGAACACATTTTACAAATAAATATTTCAAGGAACTGTTGAAAAAGAATGGAGTACACCATAGAGTAGCCACTCCATATCATCCCCAAACAAATGGGCAAGCTGAAGTAGCAAATAAGGAAATTCAGAAAATTTTGAGAAAAATAGTTAGACTAGATAGGAAAGATTGGCCCACGAAATTACAAGATGCATTATGGGCTTATAGAATAGCTTATAAAAATCTCATAGGTATGTCCCCATTTCGTCTCATTTTTGAAAAGCCATGTCATCTTTCTGTGGAAATAGAGCATAAAGCATTATTGGCTATAAAAATTTATGTGTGGATGAGAAATCAGCTAGTGGGCATAGAATTTTTCAGCTACATGAATTAGAGGAGTTGAGGAATGAAGCTTATGAAAATCATAGAATATATAAAGAAAAAACTAAAACTTTCCATGATAAATACATTAGCAGAAAAAAATTTGATGTTAGACAAAAAGTGTGGTTATATGATTTTAGGCTGAAATTATTCCCAAAAAAATTAAAATCAAAATGGAAAGGGCCTTATGTGGTGGAAGAGACATATGATCATAGGGCTGTAATGATTAAAGATCCTAAAAGTGATCATAACTTTAAGGTAAATGGATAGTGGCTTAAACATTACATAGAACATGAACGTCTTGTAGAAAAATAAATTTTATTATTAAAAGAAATTCAAGAGTAAGACCAAGGAGTCCAACTAGAGACATTAAATTTAGCGCTGCATAGGAAGTTCTTTTAATTTCACAATACTTGTTTCTATATTTATTTTTTTTTGAAAAAGTGCAGGAGGAGGAGTGTAAGATGAAGTGGAAAATTAAAAACGAGGTTGAGGTGATGTCTTTCTGAGCTTCTTCATTTATGAAAATATTTTTAATGCTTAACTTTGCAGATATGCATGCTTCACTTGAAAATTATATTTTCTGCATATTTTGTTTCGAGTTTTCTGTGTCATTGAGGACAATGTCATTTTTAAGTTGGGGGTGAAGTATTCATTATTAATTTATGCTGTAGGACGATTAAGAACATGTGTTTGCATTTTATTCAACTTAGAACAGCAACTAAAAACATAAAAATAAAATAAAATTCGGAAAAATTGCAACATCTATTTTCTGGTTTTCTGTCAAAAACAACAGACTGTCAAAAATAGCAGACAAAAAACAGCCCAAAATTTGAAATTCTAGAAGACCTTTTTCTCACATTTCAATCCCCTAGATATCTATTCTGAAATTCGAAATTACAGCTATAAAGAAGATAGTTTTGATTTATTTTTGACAAATTTATTGCTGCTAAAATAGAACTGAAAACAGAAAACAGAACTGTCAGAACTATCTAATTTACAAATTCCTTGCATCATATTGCATGCATGAAAAATTAAATCAATTAGATTGATTGATACCAAAAGATACTAGGAAGATTATTATTTAGTCAAAAGAATGATCTAGTAGCATGAAATGTTGAAATACTCTTTGGATACATGATAGATAAGATGGATTTGATTTTATAGATTTTCACTTCATGATCTTGATGGATAATATTTACTTGATGTGAAAATTTGATTGATCATTTGAGTGTAATAGAGATTTTTGCACCTTGATCTATAGGACTTGTGAGGAGAAATCACTTATTTCGAAAAAAAAGAAAAAAAGAAAGAGAGCAATGTGAAAAATCTAGAAACGAAGAGTACACATGGAGGGTGACATGACCCAGTTGTTGTATATTAAATCACGCAAATATTAAATTTATAAAACTAGAAAATACGAATTTTTGGATATTTAGAAGTATTTCTAAATAAATATATCAATTATAATTCAATAAAAATTCCAAAAATAGTGATAATTTTCCAAGTCGATCACAAGGATGTAATATAATATCTGGTAATTATTAAGAATTTTTCTCAATGAATACGATTTTCTTATGAATTTTATACTAGAAAATAAAAAGGAAATATATTTAAAATTCACGGAAAAAAGGAAATAAGGGTGCAGACGTCAGGATGATGTCAGCACCAGGCGAACGTGCACCAGGCGGAAACAGAGTTCCACCCGGCGATTCTTACGTAGGCGATTATAGACGACTCAATTAATTAAATTAAGATCTGTAAAAGTTGGAAGAATCAAAATTGAACGAAGTATAGTTTGGTAAATTAAAATCAACAAAGTATCACTAAATGAAGCGTAAATTAAATTGAAAGCAGGAAAACAGAGTTCCGGTGTCGCGACGACGATGCATCGGCAATGCACCGGAATCCTGAGCGTTTGGGAGGATCGTCGTGCAGTGTCCACGACCTCGAAGGCTCTCCTTGGACAAAGACGACGTGGGCAATCTCTAGATCTTCTTGCGAAGTCTAGAGATCAATGAAGTGGGTCGTCGAATCGTCTCCGGCGGCTGTCACCCGGTGGAGCGGAAAACGGCGACTTTGCGGCTCTCCGGCGGTTGTCACCCGACGGAGAGGCACTGGATGGAAGTGGGGCGCGTGTTAGGGAGCTGCATCCTCAGGTCCGCGCAGCAAGAGGAGGCTCTTCATCGCATCTGGTACGCTCTCAGGAGGTGGCGACTGGTCTCCTGGCGGATCGTCCTCTTCCCAACGACGACTTATTCGTCGATCCTTTTATCGCGAATCGTTCAGCAATTTTAGTAGCAATGCTCCGCGAATCGTGTTGACGAGATTTTTGCCGATGATCCAGCGATTCTCGTTGCTTAATCCTTCATCGGCGATCTGCAGGAAAGTCATGATAATCAGAGAAAAATATATAAATTTTGACTCTGGGAGGGTTCGAACCTGCGCCGGTCGCCCGGCTCTTCTGAGGAAGGTGTGACGGGGGTTTAGTCCCACATCAGTTGTACGCCGATTTTTCGAGCGAATATATAGTAATGTTAGCTTTCTTAGCAAAGTCCCTTCTCTCGCGTGTACGACCACTCCTTGCCCCCCAGCCGGCTGGCCACTGGTGACGTGGAAGGGGAGTGGCGTATGCGTGCCCTGTCGGTCCCCAAGCCAAGCCCCTGCTCGCGGCTTACTCCTCGATTGCACTTCTGACCCGCTTGCGGGCTCGGCTGGCCGGCGAGTCCCCCCCATTTTCGCAATATTTTTATTTTTATTTGTTCTTTATTTATCTCAAAAGTAAGACTGTAAAAATCGTATAAAATCACATAATTACCCAAAAATTCACGTTAATCAATTAAAAACCAAAAATCATTCTTTAACACAAATATAAGTCTATTTATCATGAGTTAAGGCTAAAACTATATTATTTACTAATTATTAACTCATGATAATGAAGACTTATCAAAGGGTGTGAGACATCATTCTCATTGTCGAAAATCGTGCATAGAAAAACACTAGTTGAAAAATAAGTGGATAAAGTGAAGGCCTTGAAAATGAAGAGTACACATGGAGGGTGTGAGACATCATTTTTATTGTCGAAATTTGTCTATAGAAAAAGCTACTTATCCACTATATATATATAAAAAAAAAAGAAGGAAGAAATATAGTGCAAACTTCAAAAATTAAGTCATAGAAAAAGGGAAATGGAGGATCAATATCATTCTTGGATGAGTATTGATAATTGGAACATCTTGTAAATACATCTATGAGTGAAGAAGTGATAAAGATGTGAATAGAAGAAGTGAAGTCTAGATTGTTATTCCAAGGAGTGTTTAAACATTTAAGTGCTTGACATCATTCTTAAATACTTGATATAAGAATCCAAAGTATTTAAAGGTACATCATTTCTAATTGTATTTTTTTTTCTGTATTGAAATATGATGTTTGAGATTTGTAAAATTTTATTTTCGTAATTCCATTGCTAAGGGACTAGAAATGATTTAAGTTGGGGACTATGATAAGTCTTCATTATCATGAGTTAATAATTAGTAAATAATATAGTTTTAGCCTTAACTCATGATAAATACACTTATATATGTGTTAAAGAATGATTTGTGGTTTTCAATTGATTAACGTGAGTTTTTGAGTAATTATGTGATTTTATACGATTTTTACAGTCTTACTATTGAGATAAATGAAGAATAAGAAATATAAATAAAAAATATTGCAAAATGGGGGGACCCGCTGGCCAGCCGGGCCCGCAAGCAGGTCGGAAGCACAGTCGCGGAATAGCCACGAGCAGGGGCTCGAGCAGGTTAGCTTGGACCGATAGGGGCACGTGTGCGCCACTCCCCTTCCACATCACTGGTGCCCAGTTGACTGTGGGGCAAGGAGTGGTTGTACACGCGAGAGAAGGGACTTTGCTTACAAAGCTAACATTACTATATATTTGCCTGAAAAATCGGCACACAACCGATGTGGGACTAAACCCCCGTCACACCTTCCTCATAGGTAGGTGACTGGTGCGGGTTCGAATCCTTTTAGAGTCAAAATTCATATATTTTTACCTGATTATCACGACTTTCCTGCAGATCGCCGGTGAAGGATTAAGCAACGAGAATCACTAGATCATCGGCAAAAATCTCGTCAACGCGATTCGCGGAGCATTGCTACTAAAATTGTTGAACGATTCACGATAAAAGGATCAAAAATCCATCAAGTGAATCCTCTTTGATTGATCAACAAACAAGCCGTCGTCGAGAAGAGGATGATCCATCGAGAGATGAGTCGCCACCTCTTGAGAGCATACCAGATGCGATGAAGAGCCTCCTCTCGCTGCGCAGACCTGAGGATGAAGCTCCCTGACACGCGCCCCACCTCCATCCAGCTCCTCTCCGTCGGGTGACAGTCGCCAGAGAGTCACAAAGTCGCCGTTTTTCCGCTCTGCCGGGTGACAGCTGCCGGAGACAATTAAACGACCCACTTCATTGATCTCTAGACTTTGCGAGAAGATCTAGAGATTGCCCACGTCATCTTTGTCCCGGGAGAGCCTTCGAGGCTATGGACATTACATGACGATCCTCTCGAATGACACCAAAACTCTGTTTTCCTACTTTCAATTTAATTGACACTTCATTTAGTGATAGTTTGTGTGATTTTAATTTACCAAACTATACTTCATTCAATTATGATTCTTCCGGCTTTTACAGATCTTAATTTGATTAATTAAATCATTTGTAATCACTTACGTAAGAATCACCAAGCAGAACTCTATTTTTGCCCGATTCGTGTTTGCCGGGTGCTGATGTCATCTTGACGTCCGCACCCTTATTTCCTTTTTTTTTCATGAGTTTTAAATATATTTCCTTTTCATTTCCTAGTATAAAATTCATAGAAAATCATATTCATTGAGAAAAAATCTGAATAATTACAAAATATTATACTACATCCTTGTGATCTACCTAGGAAATTACTACTATGTTTGGAAGTTTTATTGAATTATAATTGATATATTTATTTAGAAATACTTCTAAATATTCAAAAATTCGTATTTTCTAGTTTTATAAATTTAATATTTGTGTGATTTAATATACAATGACTAAGTCACGTCAGTAATCTTTTTACTTTGGAAAAAGACTCAATACATTTCTCATCAAAATTAAAAGGCACATCTTTAGATAATAGCATGGTGAGAGGTCTAGAAATTTTGGGAAAATCTTGAATAAATTTTCTGTAATAACCTGCATGACCCAAGAAAGATCTAATCTGTTTTATTGAATTTAGAGGTTTCATTTTAGATATAATATCAATTTTTACTCTATTCACCTCTAAAATCCTTTCACTCACAATATGATCCAACACAACTCCCTCTTTAACCATAAAATGTGATTTCTCCCAACTCAAAACTAATTTTTTCTCTATGCATTTCTCAAGTACGTGTTGTAAATGATTTAAGCATTCATCAAATGATTCACCAAAAATAGAAAAATCGTCTAGAAAAATTTCTATGCAGTTTCCAATCATATCAGAAAAAATAGACAACATACATCTTTGAAATGTGGCTGGAGCATTACACAGACCAAAAGGCATGCGTTTCAAAGCAAAAGTACCAAATGGATGATTGAAAGTTGTTTTTTCTTGATCTAAAGGGTTTATATAAATTTGATTATAACCAAAGTATCCATCCAGAAAACAAAAAAAGTTTTTTCCAGCTAATTTTTCTAAAATTTGATTAGTAAATGGTAGGGGAAAATGATCTTTTCTAGTAACTGAATTTAATGTTCTATAATCAATGCAAACTCTCCAATTGGTAGTTAGTCTTGTTTGTATTTCATCCCCATTTTTGTTTTTTTAACTATGATCCTTGATTTTTTTGGTACTACTTGTGTAGGACTAACTCATTTGCTATTTGAAATAGGATAAATAATATCAGCAGCCAGTCACTTTAAAATTTCTTTTTTTACAATTTCCATCATGTTAGGATTTAATCTTCATTGTGGTTCCCTACTAGTTCTAGCTCCTTCCTCTAGATATATACTATGCATGCATACACTCATATCAATGCCCCTTAGATCATCCATTTTTCAGCCCATAACCTTCTTATTTTTTCGAAGTACATCTAATAGTTCTTCTTCCTGTTCATCACTCAAATCAGCTGCAATAATAATAGGAAATGAATTACTTTCCTCCAAAAACATATATTTTAAACTAGAGGGAAGAGGTTTCAATTCTAAATTCAGATGATCTTCCTCTTTCTTTTCTTCTAAATTTATATTCTCTATTTCCTCTAATTCTTCAAACACATAGTCATCAATAACATCTAAATCATCAAAATCATCTAGAAGATCTATGGTATGACAATCATATATTTGGGATTTCTTAAGATCATTTGATACCTAAAAAATTTTAATTTTTACTAATTGATCTCCACATGAAATTTTCGCAATACTTGTGGGAAAATCAATATTCATCTTTGCTGTATGTAAAAATGGTCTCCCTATGATGATTGGTGTATGACGTGACTCAGTCGTTGTATGTTAAATCACGCAAATATAAAATTTATAAAACTAGAAAATACGAATTTTCGGATATTTAGAAGTATTTCTAAATAAATATATCAATTATAATTCAATAAAAATTCCAAAAATAGCGGTAATTTTCCAAGTCGATCACAGGGATGTAATATAATATCTGGTAATTATTCAGAATTTTTCTCAATGAGTACAATTTTCTTACGAATTTTATACTAGGAAATAAAAAGGAAATATATTTAAAATTCACGAAAAAAAGGAAATAAGGGTGAGGACGTCAGGATGACGTTAGCGCCCGGCGAATGCGAATAGGAATTACTCACTATTCACTCGGTTTATGGTCAATAATAAGATTATGTTATGTAGGAGAGATGGCCGAGTGGTTGAAGGCGTAGCATTGGAACTACTATGTAGGCTTTTGTTTACCGAGGGTTCGAATCCCTCTCTTTCCGTTTCTGATCCTGTGGAATCATATTGAATATTTGACGATAGATTCCGTACCTTGCTAAAAAACTGATCCTTGTTTACCAACCACACATTGTCTAACCAAATCAAATTCTCTCTCGATATGTTCCTCAAAAAATCCGATTCGTGCCGATTCTTCCCCCAACTAACGAAAAGATCTTGGCGGAATTGCCACATATGAAATTGAGCACAATTTTGCAAAGAAATACCCCACTTGTTTCTCGAGAAGAGATTGAGTCCCAGGTTCCCCAATTGACTGACCCGCAATAATACCTACAGCTTCTCCCAATTCGATCAGGTCACCGTGAGTAGGACTCCGCCCATAACATAATTAACAGATCCAAGATGTACTCCTGCAAGTAAATTAAGTTCAAATATGTATTGCGGAAAGAGAGTTCCGCTTGGCGATTCTTACGTAGGCGATTATAGACGACTCAATTAATCAAATTAAGATCTGTAAAAGCTGGAAGAATCGTAATTGAACGAAGTATAGTTTGGTAAATTAAAATCAACAAAGTATCACTAAATGAAGCGTAAATTAAATTGAAAGTAGGAAAACATAGTTCCGGTGTCGCGACGGCGATGCGTCGGCGATGCACCGGAATCCTGAGCGTTTGGGAGGATCGTCGTGCAGTGTCCACAGCCTCGAAGGCTCTCCTTGGACAAAGATGACGTGGGCAATCTCTAGATCTTCTTGCGAAGTCTAGAGATCAATGAAGTGGGTCGTCGAATCGTCTCCGGTGGCTGTCACCCAGCGGAGCGGAAAAACGGCGACTTTGCGGCTCTCCGGCGGTTGTCACCCAACGGAGAGGAGCTAGATGGAGGTGGGGCGCGTGTTAGGGAGCTTCATCCTCAGGTTTGCGCAGCAAGAGGAGGCTCTTCATCGCATCTGGTACGCTCTCAGGAGGTGGCAACTGGTCTCCCGGTGGATCGTCCTCTTCCCGATGATGGCTTGTTCATCGATCAATCGGAAATGATTTACTCGATGGATTCGCGATCCTTTTATCGCGAATCGTTCAGCAATTTTAGTAGCAATGCTCCGCGAATCACGTTGACGAGATTTTCGCCGATGATCCAGCGATTCTTGTTGCTTAATCCTTCCCCAGCGATCTGCAGGAAAGTCATGATAATCAAATAAAAATATATGAATTTTGACTCTAAAAGGATTCGAACCCGCGCTGGTCGCCCGCCTCTTCTGAGGAAGGTGTGACGGGGGTTTAGTCCCACATCGGTTGTACGCTGATTTTTCGAGCGAATATATAGTAATGTTAGCTTTGTGAGCAAAGTCCCTTCTCTTGCATGTATGACCACTGCTTGCCCCACAGCCGACTGGCCATCGGTGACGTGGAAGAGGAGTGGCCGTACGCGTGCCCTGTCGGTCTCCAATCCAAGCCGCTCGAGCCCCTGCTCGCGGCTTACTCCCCGACTGCACTTCCGATCCGCTTGCGGGCCCAGTTGGCCAGCGGGTCCCCCCATTTTTGCAATATTTTTATTTTTATTTCTTGTTCTTCATTTATCTCAAAAGTAAGACTGTAAAAATCGTATATAATCACATAATTACCCAAAAATTCACGTTAATCAATTGAAAGCCAAAAATCATTCTTTAACACAAATATAAGTCTATTTATCATGAGTTAAGGCTAAAACTATATTATTTACTAATTATTAACTCATGATAATGAAGACTTATCAGTGTATCATAAAACTGTCCATTAAAATTCATTTCTAGCACTACAAAATCAGCTTAAAATTTACACCCTTTAACTATTACTATCACATTTTCTAAAATACCTTTAGGATGTTTTATGGATCTATCAGCAAATTGTAAGGTAACAGTAGAAGGTTTAAGATCAGAAATATTAAATTTATCACAAATACTTGCAGGTAATAAATTAATACTAGCACCAGTGTCAAGTAATGCATTCTAAAAAATGGATCCACCAATATCACACGAAATTAAAGGGGCACTTGTATCTCTCAATTTATATGATAATTGATTTAATAATAATGCACTAGTATGCATAGATAATTTTTCTACTCTAAGTGTCCTTTTTGGTGTACACATTTCTTTCAAAACTCTAGCATATTCAAGAATATGTTCAATGGCAGTGAGTAAAGGAAGACTAATTTGCACATCTTGTAAAATTTTCTTTATTTCTTCATTGTGTTCCTTTTTCTTTCTTTGTCTAGGCTCTAGAGCTTTAGGAAATGGAATGGTTGTCCTCTCTTATGAAATTTCCTTGGTAGAATCTATAAAATCCTCTTCTACTCCTATTTGATTTTGTTTTAGGTCATCCACGTTTTCTTTTTCTTCTAATATTTGGGGATAAGAATCAGGTAAGATCTTACCACTCCTTAATGTATTCACTGTCCTAATATTTTAATTTCGTGAGTTTTTTGCTAGATTCATGCTACTAGACTCCCCTTGCTGAAATCCTATTGTTGGGTAGTTCCCTGGATTTTTTATGGGCTGACTAGGTAGCTGTCCCTCTTTTCTCTTATTCCCAAGGGACTCTATAATTTGTTTCTAGTGTTGCATCATTTGATTCATAATTTGTTGCATCATTTGGCTCATTTGCTGCATTATTTCCATAGTATCAGGTTGGGTTTCAGAGGGCTGATTTTTCTGAAATCTGTTTTCTTATTTTGGACGAAATTTAGAGTTTGAATTGGGTCTAAGTGCTTCTGGATTTTGAATATTATTTGGGTCTCTCCATAAAAAATTATTCCTCCAATTAGGATTATAAGAATTTGAAAAAGGTTCCCTATTTCTATTAAAACCGTGAGCTACTTGCACTTGTTCTTACATAGGGTGAAATGATTGATCTAAATTATAACATTAAAATTCAAAATAATCATTTTCACCATACATAGGACATGTACTATTCAAATTAAATTGAGGGTTAAAAGGCTTTCTAATATTGTCAATAAGTGAATCAATTTTTTCTAATCTTTGATTAATCTGATTAACCTCATTTTTTAAGTTTAGAATCATCATCATGATGTAATTCATAAATTCTTCTCTTCTTATCCCTATCATATAACTCAAAAGAGGCTTGATCTCTAGAATTTTCACTTAAATTCTCATAAAGACTGTAAATCTCATCAAGAGTTTTCTCCATAAAAGCTCCTCCACATATAGAATCAACCATATTTCTATATTGTTCTAATAATCCATCATAAAAAATTATATTGAGCTGCCACTTGGGTATAGCATGATGAAGACACTTTCTAAGTAAATCTTTGAATTTTTCCCATGTCTCATGCAAAGTTTTCTCATATTTTGAGTTTTTCCTAAGGGATAAAATTTTTGAAGAAAGGCCTGTTCTATATCTTTCTAGCTAGTTAATTCTCTATCTAATGTGGGTAGCCAATGACTAACTTTGTCCCTAAGTGTATGAGAGAATAATTTCATCTTAATAATTTCCAGTGTAACTTGAGGGAGATTAACTAAATCACAGACCATATGAAATTTTTCTAAATGCTGATGAGGTTCCTCTAAAAGCAATCCATGAAAATTAGGGAGCATGTGAAAAATTCCTAGATTTATTTCGAATTTAACAGTGGGTGCTAATGGGACTCTAATATTGGATGCTCTTTGAAATGAACTAGGGATATAATGATTTTTCATGGCCATAGGATTTTTCTCAATTTGACCTGTACTTCCTTCAGGATCCATCAAAATTAATTTTTCTTTCAGATTTTTATTTTTGAATGAAATAAGGAAAAGATTTTCTAGCCTTGGATGCAAGGATCTTCTACCATGCATAAAAATCAATAAATTCGAGGGAAAAAGTTAGTAACTGTTACCCTCCTTCAGGATGCTCCAGTCTTTGCCGTGCTTCTTTTCATTCCCTTTTTCTAATAAAAATTGGCAAAAAGAAAATAAAACAAGAGTTAAGTTCTTTTGTGTACTCTAAGAGAAAAACAGAAAAATACTAAATATTATGCAATACATCCCCGACAACGGTGCCAAAATTTGATGTGACTCAGTCGTTGTATATTAAATCACGCAAATATAAAATTTATAAACTGAGAAAATACAAATTTTTAGATATTTAGAAGTATTTCTAAATAAATATATCAATTATAATTCAATAAAAATTCCAAAAATAGCGATAATTTTCCAGGTCGATCACAAGGATGTAACATAATATCTGGTAATTATTCAGAATTTTTCTCAATGAATACGATTTTATATGAATTTTATACTAGGAAATAAAAAGGAAATATATTTAAAATTCACAAAAAAGGGAAATAAGGGTGCAGACGTCAAGATGACATCAGCACCTGGCGAGCGCAAATCAGGCAAAAATAGAGTTCCGCCCAGTGATGCTTACATAAGCAATTATAGATGATTTAATTGATCAAATTAAGATCTATAAACGCCGAAAGAATCGTAATAGAATAAAGTATATTTTGTTAAATTAAAAACACAAAAATTATCACTAAATGAAGCGTAAAGTAAATTGAAAGCAGGAAAATAGAGTTCCGGCATCACGACGGCGATGTGTCGATAATACACCGGAATCCTGAGCGTTTGGGAGGATCATTGTGCAGTGTCCATGGCCTCGAAGGCTCTCCTTGGACAAAGACGACATGGGCAATCTCTAGATCTTCTCGCAAAGTCTAGAGATCAATGAAGTGGGTCGTCGAATCATCTCCGGCAGCTGTCACCTGATGGAGTGGAAAAACGACGACTTTGCAGCTCTCTAGCGGCTGTCACCCGACAAAGAGGAGTTGGATGGAGGTGGGGCACGTATCAGGAAACTTCATCCTTAGGTCCACGCAGCAAGAGGAGGCTCTTCATCACATTCGGTATGCTCTCAAGAGGTGGTGACTCATCTCCCGACAGATCGTCCTCTTCTTAACGACGGCTTGTTCGTCGATCAATCAGAGATGATTTACTCGATGGATTCGCGATCCTTTTGTCTTGAATCGTTCAACAATTTTAGTAGCAATGCTCCGCAAATCGCATTGATGAGATTTTTGCCGATGATCCTGTGATTCTCGTTGCTTAATCCTTCACTGGCGATCTGCAAAAAAGTCGTGATAATCAGATAAAAATATATGAATTTTGACTTTGGGAGGATTTGAACCCACACTAGTCGCCCGCCTGTGAGGAAGGTGTGACGTGGGTTTAGTCCCACATCGGTTTTGCGCCGATTTTTTGGACGAATATATAGTAATGTTTGTTTGTAAGCAAAGTCCTCTCGCGTGTACAACTACTCCTTGCCCCACAGCTAGCTGGCCACCGGTGACGTGGAAGGGGGGTGGCGCACACGTGCCCCTATCGGTCCAAGCTAAGCCGCTCGAGCCCCTGCTCACAGCTACTCCCCGACTATGCTTCCGACCCGCTTGCAGGCCTGACTGGCTGGCGGGTCCCCTATTTTGTAATATTTTTATTTTTATTTCTTGCTCTTCATTTATCTCAAAAGTAAGACTATAAAAATCATATAAAATCACATAATTACCCAAAAATTCACGTTAATCAACTAAAAACCACAAATCATTTTTTAACACAAATATAAGTTTATTTATAATGAGTTAAGGCTAAAACTATATTATTTACTAATTATTAACTCATGATAATGAAGACTTATCAACATCTATGATAGGATACAGAGTCAAAATACATTGTATAAGCAGGCTGCTGTTATGTATCGTCAACCTTGGATTTTCCAGGTGGGAGACCAGGTTATGGTGAGGATGAGGCCCAAGCTTTATGCTCCTGGCTCTACTACGAAGCTTCACGCTTGTAGTGCCAGCCCATTTCGTGTTCTTTCCTAGATAGGCAAGAATGCCTATGTCATCGACATCCCTCCTTCATGGGAGATTAGCTCCACATTCAATGTGGCGGATCTGGCGTTGCACCAAGCCCCACCTCTTTCATCTGACCTTGAGCCCTCATCTACCAGCCCCTTCTCTAAGAAAGAGTTTGCCATGGAGTCCACTCCCCCCATTTTACCACCTGATTGGCACGAGTGAGTCGAGGAGATTCTTCGGGAGGTAATTGACTTTATAGGGAACGGAGTTTCGCAAAGATTCCTAGTACGTTGGCAGGGTCGCCTGTCAGAGGACGATGCTTGTATTTTGGAGGCAGACCTGGAGTGACTACGACCAGACTTGTTGGAGCCCCTGCCTTCCCCACTTGCCAACTCATCGGAGTCGAGTTCTTTCGACCCCGAGAGGATTGATGGCGAGTGGGACCTATCTCCATCAGCTCAAGAGACACTGGCAGTCTGAGTTCAGCCTGATCGACGTGTGAAGACGAAGGAGCCTGGCTTTCACTACACGGCCTAGCCCTTTGGGATGACAACATTCTACCTCCGTGATGACGATGAGCTTGAGCTCACCCATATCTTTCTTTGTACTTTCACGATGTGTTAGCGGGCCCAATTCTATGTGTGTGTGTTGTTGTTTGTCTCTCTTTCTTTAGGGTTTTATTGAGTCTTTCTTTGAGGCCCAATTAAAACCCAAAGGGTGGGGGACCTATGTGTCTTTCTTTTTTAGACCTTTTTTTGGGCTTATTTAGGTCTTCATTCCAGGCCCACTTAAGCACCATAAGAGGGCTCTCCTCTTTCTCCTTTTATTGGGTTTCTTTTTAAGAGGCCCAATAAACCCCTTTTGTAGCCTTTGTGGCTTATGGGCTTAAGGGTCTCAAGTGGGCCCACCTCCCCATAGCCCACTTGTGGGCCCCCATATAAGGGGAGGTAGGACCCCCCCTCAAAGGGCACCGTATTTTTGAGAGAGATTATCATTTTGTGAGTACCTTCTCCGTGATCTAGGATAGGGAGGGAAGGAGGAAGAGGAAGGCCGTCGATCCCCTTTCAAGGACTTCGTTCCTTTGTGACGCTACTGCCCGAGAAGTCCCGCCACCGCTTGAGACCACTATCACTGCCGGCCATCTCATTGCCACCCGGGAGCTCGCTGCCATCACCAGACGAAACAGTCGTGGTTGCCGCTACAGCTGCCGCTGCCTCTGCTGGAACTCCGTCATGTCGTCGTGACGAAAGGGGCTTGCTTCGCCTCACTACAAGCCATCGTCGAGCACTCCGCCGGAGTCTCTCGACTCCTGGTTTGACTGCTGCCTTTTCCTCCGGAACTCCACCATAAACTCACCGGAGCAGCCCTCCACCACTCCGCCTAGTCACTGGCTGTTCGCTGACAAATGCCGACCTGCTGCCGATGGCGGAAGAGACCCGGCAGCCGTGCCGACGAGCCAGAACCAGTCCAAGCTCCACACAGGCCCCCACCGGAGTTTCCCGACGTTCCGCCGCCATCGCGCCGTTTCCGACACCGCTTAGACCAAGAGAGCTCAACCCTCCCTGGTATCGTCAGTCGGATCATCTCCTCTCTACTCCGCTTTCTGGCACCGCCAGAGAGGCTGATCCTTCCACTAATGGTTGGGTTTCTGCCCCAACCACTGACGCTTGGCATTCCCACCAAAGCGCCGCTGACGCTCGGCATTCCTACCAAAGCACCGCTGATGCTCGGCCTTCCCACCAAACGTCGATGCTCGGCATTCTCGCCGAAGCGCTGCTGACGCTTGGCATTCCTGCCGAAGTGCCACAGACACTCGGCCTTCCTGCCGAAGCGCTGCCGCCACATGTGCCCCGCGCACCGGCTCTTGTGGCCCACGCACCCACCCGGTGCCACTGCCTGCATGCCCAAGGGCATGCCGCGCAACTTGCCGTGCGCGTCCGCTAGCGTGCCCTTTTGGCCCACCAGCGGGCCCGGCACACTAGCAAGCATGCGTCTGCTAGCGTGCCCTTTTGGCCCACCAGCGGGCCCATGCCTGCTAGTGTGCCCTTTGGCCCACCTGTAGGCCCACACCCACGCCGCTTGTGCCACGCCCTAAGATGACAACTTCCGTGACTCTCAACCAGGACCGACCATCGACACTGAGCATCGCTCTTCACCGGACGTCCCTGCCTTCGTTGGATCTCTGCTCCATCAAGACTTGTTAGGCTACACAGCCCTGAAGGTTAGCTCCATACCCCTTCTTACTTAAGTTTAATTATCTTTCAAAGGGTTTTCTTGGCTCATCTCTATCGCCTTTAGGAGCACGTAGATAGGATAGGATAAGTTATTGGATCGTGACTTCTAACGTTGCACCAGACTCATCACAGTTCGTGAGCTGCAGCCCTAGGCTACTTCACGACAACAGTTCTACCTCTCACTCACCATCGTCGAGTATATCCCTGAGTTGTCTTGGGATGATCATGCATATTGGTACACCTACCTATGCTTAGGTTACGTGGTCAGACCTAGAGTCTAGGGTTCAAACCTTCTTATTAGATCAGTCTGACTGCCCCATCTCAAGACTCGAGTTTCATTGATTAGGTACAGGGGGTTCTCGCTCCGTCTTGCATCAGGGAAGGTCGAGCATCAGCGGCGCTTTGACAGGAATGCCAAGCGTCAGTGGCGCTTTGTCGGGAATGCCAAGCGTCGGCGGTGCTTCGGCGAGAATGCCGAACGTCAATGATGCTTTGGCAGGAATGTCAAGCATCAGCGGCTCTCAGCGGGAATGTCGAGTGTCAGCGGTGGTTCGGCAGGAATGCCAAGTGTCAATGGCGCTTCGATGGGAATGCCGAGTGTCAACGGTTGGGCAGAAACCCAACTGTCGCCGGAAGGATTGGCCTTCTCTAGTGGCACTTGGAAGCAGAGCAGAGGAAGGAGATAATCTGGCTGACAATACTAGAGAGGGTTGAGTCCTCCTGGTCTAGGCGGCGCTCGAAACAGTGCGACAGTAGCAGATCATCGGGAAAGTCTGGCAGGGCCTGTGAGGAGCTTGGACTGGATCTGGCTCGTCAGCATGGCAGCGGGGGCTCTCTCGATGTCGGTGGCAGGCAGGCGTTCATCGACGAACGACCAGTGATAAGTCTTCATTATCATGAGTTAATAATTAGTAAATAATATAGTTTTAGCCTTAACTCATGATAAATAGACTTATATTTGTGTTAAAGCATGAAAAGTGGTTTTCAGTTGATTAACGTGAATTTTTGGGTAATTATGTGATTTTATACGATTTTTACAGTCTTAGTTTTGAGATAAACGAAGAACAAGAAATAAAAATAAAAATATTGCAAAATGGGGGGATCCGCCGGCCAGCCGGGCCCGCAAGCGGGTCGGAAGCGCAGTCGGGGAGTAGCCGCGAGCAGGGGGCTCGAGCGGCTTACTTGGATTGATAGGGGCACATGTGCGCCACTCCCCTTCCACGTCACCGGTGGTCAGCCGGCTGTGGGGCAAGGAGTGGTCGTACACGCGAGAGGACTTTGCGTAGAAAGCTAACTTTACTATATAATCGCCCAAATAATCCGCGCACAACCGATGTGGGACTAAATCCACCTTGTTCAGGGGCGGGCGACCGCCGTGGGTTCGAATCCTCCCAGAGTCAAAATTCATATATTTTTAACTGATTATCGCGACTTTCCTGCAGATCGCCGGTGAAGGATTAAGCAACCGAAATCGCTGGATCATCGGCGAAAATCTCGTCAACGCGATTCGCGGAGCATTGCTACTAAAATTTCTGAACGATTCGCGATAAAAGGATCGCAATCCATCGAGTAAATCATCTCCGATTGATCGACGAACAAGCCGTCGTCGGGAAGAGGACGATCCGCCGGGAGATCAGTCGCCACCTCCTGAGAGCGTACCAGATGCGATGAAGAGCCTCCTCTTGCTGCGCGGACCTGAGGATGAAGCTCCCTAACACGCGCCTCACCTCCATCCAGCCCCTCTCCGTCGGGTGACAGCCGCCGGAGAGCCGCAAAGTCGCCGTTTTTCCGCTCCGCCGGGTGACAGCCGCCGGAGACGATTCGACGACCCACTTCATTGGTCTCTAGACTTCGCGAGAAGATCTAGACATTGCCCACGTCGTCTTTGTCCAAGGAGAGCCTTCGAGGCCGTGGACACTGCACGACGACCCTCCCGAACGCTCAGGATTCCGGTGCATCGCCGACGCGTCGCCGTCGCGACGCCGGAACTCTGTTTTCCTGCTTTATCTAGAGATTGCCCAAGTCGTCTTTGTCCAAGGAGAGCCTTCGAGGCCGTGGACACTGCACGACGATCCTCCCGAACGCTCAGGATTTCGGTGCATCGCCGACGCATCGCCGTCGCGACACCGGAACTCTGTTTTCCTGCTTTCAATTTAATTTACACTTCATTTAGTGATACTTTGTTGATTTTTATTTACCAAACTATACTTCGTTCAATTACGATTCTTCCGACTTTTACAGATCTTAATTTGATTAATTGAGTCATCTGTAATCGCCTACGTAAGAATCGCCGGGCGGAACTCTGTTTCCGCCTGATTCGCGTTCGCCGGGCGCTGACATCATCCTGACGTCCGCACCCTTATTTCCTTTTTTTGTGAATTTTAAATATATTTCCTTTTTATTTCCTAGTATAAAATTCGTAAGAAAATCGTACTCATTGAGAAAAATT